CCCCCCCCCCCCCCCCGGAAAAAACAACACAAAATCCCTTTATAATTTAATTTATATATTCATATGTCTAGACATCTGAATGTTAATACTGCATTGGAGGGTAAATGTAAGATAGTATTTGCTCAACTTTTTAGAGATCATCTTTTTATGTGCCATAGGTTTCAATGTTTTATTAATCATCTAGATAGAATCCTCTTTTTCCCTCGCACACTCCTGCCCAAAACTGTTAGCTTTGGTCTGAATGAGCACCTGTGTTGCACCTTCTCTGTGACTTATTTGCTTGCACCTTCTGGTCCGAATTTGGTTGTCCGGAATTAGTTATTCCCTTTCCAAGTTCACTTAACAAAATATAATGATTTGTCTAAAATATCATAGAGATAAGGTGTGAGCATTGTTGACATGATTAAGTGATATACTCAATGGAAGGGCTTATTTGAGATTTTATACGCATTTCTTAAAAATGAGATTTTTTTAAAAAAAGCAAACAACTAAGTGTGGACAGAGGGACTAGGGAGTACTTAAGTTGTTCAAACATCCAAACATACAATGGATATAAACATCACTAGTGTATCAAGTTTTGTGTTTTAACGATGGCTCTTTTTGTGGATTGATCTGCTAATGAACTTGGGCATTGCAAATGGTTGTGATTGCTCGGTTATTATTTACGAGTATAATGGAAGAACATTTATTCAAAAGGTAGCAGGACTAGCAGCCTCCATTTTGGTACTCTTTACCTTAGGCATCTGTTTGGCAGTTTCATAACCTCACAAACTGAACATGTCTGATGCAGTTTATTGTGAATAAATGAACTGCTTGCTCTGAACATTTTAAACTTTTTCCGTTTATGAATATTCGATGTAGATGTGGTATGGTTTTGTTACCAAAAGGTTAAGGTTGTTATAGGTAAAATTGCCAAAGGCACTCTGTCAAGGCCTTCTCTGTTCTCTCCAGCAATCCAAGGTAAGATTGTAATAGCACAAGTAGTTGTGGTTTTCATTCTAAACATAGAAATCTATGTGCTGCAGTTCTGGGAATGGGCTGGTTTGGGTTTTTTTGTGTCATCTGAGTACTTGGTAACATAGAAGCATTATCTGGTACAGTACCAAAAAAAGGACATGTCTTTTTTCCAATTTTGGGACAACATTGGGAACTTCATTTTTGAAAAGAATCTTATTTTGGAATAGAACATGTTCTTTCAAGGGAAAAAATTGTCTGTTCTCAGGCAAGGCAAAGTCTCAGGTCATAAACCACTCATTCATTATCAAAAGGAAGGCATATGAAAATGATTTTCCTAAAACAATGTCCCTAATTTAAAGGAATTTTTTTACTTTGTTAAAAAAACCTTATTGTTGTGTCCCTCAGAACTAGTCGGATGGTTTTTTTAGTTTGTAGACTTAAAAAAAAGTTCAAACGTAAAAAGTGGATGATTAGAATTTTGTTTATAAGAGAAATATTGCAAGTTATACATTCTTTTGGAAAAATGTGAAAGGAGACTAATTTTGTGATGGTAAAAATGAAAAATGTAAGATGAAGGTATTAAAACACTTTTTGTAACATTCTTTGATGTGGCAAATTTACCTTTTTGGACAAGCTATAGGTCCTAGAACTCTCCATCATTGAATTAGTTGGTTATGCGCGCGTTATAGGATTTTTATTGTTGATATTGTAAAATTTTTATCACAACAAAAAATTTTGTAAAATTCGAGCTACGTTGGGATTTGGTAAGTCAAGATATATGAAATGTTATTTATGTAGAAATTAGATCTTTGATAGACCCTTAGGGGTGTATACGAATCGAATCGAAGCAAATATATCACTATTCGATTCGTATTCGATTAAAGTGATATGTATTCGAATTCGGATTCGTATATAATTCGAATTTTAAAAAATATTTGTATTCGATTCGATAGATATTTGACGTATTTGAATTCGTATTCGAATTCGAAAATATTACTAATTTTTTTCTTGAAATAGATTTGTTAAAGACATTAAATTATTATTTTATAATAATGTAAAATGTAGTAAAAATATGTTAGAATATATATAAATTTATTTTTTTTGAATGCTATTGACTCTATTACAAGGTAGTATCTGTTCATACTATTCTCAAACTAATGACGCACAAAGAGCCAATGCTGCTGCCTTCGCTGGGACTCGAACCTGGGTGAACTTCCCCATGAATCCTGGGGAGTGGGCTTGCTACCACTCAAGCCAGGGGAGAAGTTCTATATAAATTTATTTATAAATTATAATATTCAAATTTATATAAATTTATATGTACACAAAAATTTAATATATTAAAATATGTACACAAATATTTAATATATTAGAATATATATAAATTTATTTATAAATTATAATATTCGAATAATTCGAATAATAAACGAATCGAATCTATTAGTATTTGTATTTGTATTCGAATATAATTCGAATCTAAAATATGATTTGTATTCGGATTCGAATTCGAATATATCGAATACGAATAATCTTTTTCGAATACGAATAACGAATCGAATACATTTTATTTGATTTGTATGCACCCCTACCCTCAGGCACTATTGTCTTTAACTACAATTCGAATATGTGTTTAGAAAAGATACAAGCATAATTTTTCAATACAATGAAAAGATACAATTCGAATATGTGTTTATTTAATTTGCGAGAGCACACATATTCGAATTCAAAAGGAGCGGCTATTGTTTAGAAAAAGACTCTAGCGGGGCTTAGGCAAGAATAGAAATCCCCTTAGTTGTTTGATATCAAACCTGGATTTACTTCCTTAAACATATAGGGTCCAAGATTAATTGCACGTAAGCCGCCCAAGCATCGGGACCTGAAAAATTACAGTCTAGTTTTTTACCTGGAAACCTGATTTTTTCCTCAAATTATTTCAACTCTTTTTGAGGACCTAGCTTGATTCAACCTTATTTTTTTTTGTTTTTCTATTCAATGATTGTGCTTCAAGAAATAATATCAACATACAAATATTTAATCGATAATATGATATGCTTAAAATAAAATTTGCACCTTCGTTAGTTTTTCAAATTTCAAAAATATTGATAAAGTTTCACTTTAATGCATTTCTATTTTACCAAGAATAAGTTGCATATAAAAATATCTAAAAATCTAAGCCCAACCATTATACTTAAAATTTTTTACCAAGAATAAGTTGCATATAAAAATATCTAAAAATCTATGCCGAACCATTATACTTAAAGTTTTTTATATAAATCAAAATTTATTTATAATAAAATACTAGTATTAAAAGAAAAAAGAATAATAGAATAAACACATTCTGGTCTTAACGGTTCAACCTGAAAACCATCCAATTTTGGACAAGAATTATACCGGTCTTCAATTCTAAGACCGGTGACCGGTCCGGATTTTTATCGGTCTAGCCTGGAACCGGATTTTACTGTCGGGTCCGGTCCGGTTTTCGATCCGAGCCAAATTTTGTGCATCCCTACCCATGATCATTTATTTCCTCAATACAAAAGATTCCAAGTGAAACCTTTTCTCTTGTGCCGGAGACAGCAAATGCAAAAATAATTAGAAACCGAAAATATTTATTATTCTTAGCTCTGCTGAAAAAGCATTTCATTTCAGAAGTTCATTTTACACTTCTGAAGCCATAAACTATAAGCAGAAACAAATTGTCAAACACGTTAAGCTGTATTTTGATTAATCAAAAACTCAAAAACAGTTTTTCGAACGCAACTCCAAGCATCCTATATAGAGCACAACTCACAGTTATATTTGGCAGCTAAACTCACAATCTCAGACAGTGTTCAAAACCAAAGCTCTCAAAAAATGTCAGTTAGGTTTATTTGATCTTTAAAATGGTTAATCACAATCTGCTAACCCCTCAGCAAGTATGCTACTAACTCTGTCCTCACAAGCATCGGATTCTTCGGTAGGTTTTCCATCTTCCACAAAAGACCCCATTAACACCGCATGAGTATACGCATTGGGAACCCAACCCTTCCCCGAAGAATCCGATGAAAAACCTACCGACTCCAGCAATTTAGTGGCCTCTACTCTGTACCCTCCTCTCCAAAGGCTGTTGATCAAAGTGTTATAAACAGACGATTCGTCCACGTTATTTCTTTTAGAGAGCCCATGAAGAATTTGTACTTTGTTTCCACAAATGCCCTTGATAAGCATCCCAAATGATGCAGAGTTGAGAGGAAGGCTTTTGCTAGACATTAGGGAGAACACTTCTGCAGCTTCTTCATACCTTTTCCCTCGGCATAGACAATCGATCAGTTTACCATATGACACGGCGTCAAGAACCCATGATTTGTCCCAAACTTTGTGGAACAGTGTTAGGGCTTCTTCGCATTCGTCCGATAAGCATTTGCCGATGATAAGGGCAGAAAAAGTATCGGCGTTTGGATCAACCGACAAAACGACCATCTTGCATAGATACTTGAGAGCATCATCCATCTGTTCATTCTCGCAAAAGTGTCTAATGAGGATATTCCATGACCCAACATCTGTTACATCTCTCTTGAACATTTCATCAAACAGGTCTCGCGCAGCACGAAATTTACCTGCTTCGAAATATGCCCGGAGAAGAAGATTATAAGGAGAAACGGTGAAAACCTTATAATCTTCCAATAACTTCCTAGCCTCTCCCAATCTTTGGGTTTTACACAACACATCAATTACACTAGTGAACACAGACTCATCTGGAATGAGATGACTACCAATCATCTCTGCAAGTAGTTCTAAAGCTTCGTCCGCGAGAAGATTCTTGCACAGGCATTGTACCATAGACCCATACATTGATGCACTTGGAGAAATCTTTGAAGATCTCATCATTCCAAACAACCTCATTCCCACCTCTAACTCATTCATTTCACAAAATATGGGCAGTATGGAAGCATAAAAACTCAGATTTGGTTCGCACCCGGAGCCAAACATTTCATCCAAAACCACAAGTGATTCCCCAAATCTATCCCTAGATATAAGTCCACTTATAATGATCTCAAAAGTTCTACTGTTAGGTTTACACCCTTTCCTCTCCATTCTTCTATAATGATCCAAAGTTGCTTCGACCCGACCCGCATCCAACAACGCCTGCAACAGACAATTCAGTGTATCAGTGTTCGGAACGATTCCTGCTTTCACCATCTCTTTGTATACATACACAACATCCTTAAAATCTTTCTTGGCCTCGACAAGGGCAACAAGCAACTGGTTATACACAGATATGGATGGAGGCTTAGTGCTACTACACGAATGCAAACAAGAAACAACACACAGAGCCTCACTAAGCTTATGATTCCTAACAAAAGAATCAATCAGAGCAAAAAGGGATTCTTCGAAACCCGGGCATTTTTCCTTCACCATCTCATGGCAGAAACCCTCGACTTCACCTGCTTTTCCGGCCATGCCCAGTTTCAAGATTATGGCGTGATATGTATCTGCGGTGTGGCGAAACTGCTTCTGAAGGGAAGCCCATTTGAACAGCTTCAAAGAAGAGTCCAAATCTGCAGTGGATTCAATTGCATTTATTAGGGTGTCTGGGAGAAGCTGGTTCTTTAAAGAATGAATCTTTGTTTGATACCCAAGGAGATTGGGCAAGTTTCCATCAGTTTCTTGGGGGCTTCGGATGAAATCTGCACTTGGAAGCCAAGAAAGATGGCGACTTTGGTAAACCCACACATGAATTTTCTTAGAAAGGTTTGGAACTGAGAGTTTTACAGCCATGGGAGTGACTCAGCAGGCTGGAAGAACAATGTTCTCATGGTATTCCCCGTCTGTACATCACTTAAATACAAATATTTAGGGGCGGTTTGTTTCAGCCGTTCAGGTGTCTGAATGGTTCAGCGGTTCAGTCTGTTTGTTTCAGCCTCTTAATGATTCAGATGTCTGAATGGTTAAGAGATTTGCCTCTGAATAATTAAGTATTATACAGAGTCTGAATGGTTAAGACCTCTTATCTGAATTGATCAGACATTTGCCTCTGAATAGTTAAGCAATATACTAGCTCTTAATGGTTCAGACCTTTTACTGGTTCAGCACTTAATGGTTCAGACCTCTTACTGGTTCAGCACTTACCGATTCAGAAGTTGCCAAACAGCCCCTTAGTGTACAGATACCATATGTACGAATAGAGTATCCCAATTCTTGAATTTTATTTTGAATAAAAGTACGAGCAATGCTAGGGCTACATCTTTTGGTGTACCCCAAATGTACACCACCCTCTTCTCCATCACACATTTTTATTTTATTTTTATTTATTTATTTTTTTTAAATTTTTTTACCTTTTTTAGTGGACAAGGAAGGGGTGGGGGACATATGGGGTACACCTTTGGTGTACCCATAGCATTTTTCTAAAAGTATAAGTAAACAAATAAGGTGTTGTATACCTTCAGGGAGTATTTTGGAGTAGACCTACACAAATACAGGTTATACAGCTTTGAGCCAGATATGGACCGGGCTTAGGTGAATGGTTTGCTCAGATATTTGGGCGGGCTACAAAATTTGGATCTACCCATGAAAGAGATCCAATCAGGCTATAGGATGGCTCAGCCCAGAACTTTTTATTTTATGAAAATATTTTTAATTATAATATTTGTATCTCATATTTTATTTAGTATTAAAATGAATTTAATGTGATTGATACACCATACAACTCTATAAAATTATAATTGCTCAATCAATGTAAAATAAATAAATGTAATATTCCAAAAAGATACATATTTGTATGATACTAGCTCATGCATTCGAAGTTGCAGCTCGAGCCAGGTTAATCCACATGAGTGAAATTTCGTGGGAGCAGCGGAAATTACTAAATAAAAATTATGCAAACAAATCAAATAAATAAACTGTTGAGAAGATGTTTTAGTACCGTCACAGAAATAGATGACAAACAATGTACTATAACACATTTTCTGTCACAAGCACACATATAGAAGCAGATGATGCAGAGGGTGTTACATCATCATACTAGGCAGAATGTTGTAACTATAAAATGCGTAGAAAAGAACACCAGATATATTTACGCAGTTCGGATAACTTTCCTACTCTATGGGCCCGCATCTATGTAATGACCCTACACTAAATCACTAGATACAAGTTACACCAGTATCTTAGCCTTCCAAATTGTTATGACAAAACTTCTAATTCAGGATTTATAACTCATACCCTTTACAAATCTGCTTCGACTTTCACATCTCCACCGAGATCACAAGGACAAATGTGTTGGCAGTCCTCTTCGTAAGATCGGGTTCATCATCTTGATGTTACGAACTGTTTGGCATTGAAGATCTCCTTCCTCATGTAGATCGTAACTTTCTTCACGCAAGGAAAACTCCGGGACGCAACGAGAATGTTCTAGATAAGCATATATTTTGCATATTTTCCCACACTATCACTCCAAAGTATCCACAGGGATCTGCTGCATTTTTATATTTTTATATGCTTCTCCAAACCCAATCTTAGTAGAAATAGGTTAGTAGCTGTCTTGAATACAACTTTTATAATTTTCATCCACAAGTAGCCTAAAACCTTCTAAATACGAGGTGGATTATTATAAACAAATTCTAGCATGTAGTCATAATCCCAATAGGTCTCTGATTCTGAAAAATTGCAGATCGTAACTTAAAATCCCGTGCATAGACTCATGAAGTCGTACAGTGTGTTGTAGCATCTTTTATGTCACCTTTGAAAACTGCAGCAACTCTAGGAGCCAAAATAAAATAAATTTATTCCTAATAAATAGAGGATCTACTTAGTAAACTGCTACTAAATATTGATTGAGTCTGTGCAGGTCTACTTTGGAGTGACATGTCTTGTATGAACCTCACAAATTTCGTCAATATAAAGTACGTGCATTAAAAAAAATGGATTGATGTAATTATTGAATCAAGTTGGGTTTGGAGTTGTAGAACCGAATTTGTAGTAAAATTGGTGTAAAATTTGATTAAAATATATATGTTCAAGTCGAATCCATGTTCACTTTTATTTATAAGGTATTGACATTGTGATGTTTGTGGACTAAATGACATGATTAGTGGATGAATAAATAGATATGGAGTCATTACTTTTATTGATAACTACTAGACTCGTACCCGTGCGTTGCACGGAGAAAAAATTTATTTTAAATTAACATGCAATATTTTTAAGAATTAAAGAGTATTTCAAAGCGCGGGACTTCTCTATCATCACATGCCTCTTCCGAGTTCTAATGGAAGGAGCATTGGAGCAGCTATTTTGATATATCTATTGCACTCTAAACTAAAAATGATTTTGTTACTTAGAAATAATTTGAATGCAAAGGGTGATGGATCCCCACTTTATTCAATTCTTCAACTTGTTGGCAAAAGAAATGAGTGCAAGTAAATGCAAGTACATTTCAAGTATCAATTATAACATAGCTTATGAAAATATAACATGCCAACATGGTGTCACAATTATCAAGGTTTCTTCAAAAGTCAAAGAAATTGATGCATATAAGACGTGTACAGGGAGAGATCAAAACCAAGATGAGAACAAACCAAAATGAAAAACAAGCATCAAGTAGAATGAACTAAATTACTATGAAACAGCCCTTAGAGTCTTTGTGCCATTGTGCCATTATATATTTACTAACAAACCTTAATCTCTAAATTTGAATTCGTGTTGTAAATTTTTTACAGATCCCACCACCACCATTCCATTAATTAATGTATGTACATATTTAGTTGTTACTCCCAAAAAATAAAAGACCCTTTCCAATAATATTTTTATTATAAGAAAACAAATTGCTAGATTAAAAGAGTAAATGAAAAGAGAAATACATTGTACCCAAAATTAAAAATAAAATTAAAAAAAAGAAGAAGAGGAAAAAACATAGTAAAACATATACCTTGAAGCATAAAATAATAAAATAAACGGGACCTTAGTGAAGATCACGTTTTAAGAAAACTCAACTTGAAATTAATAAAATAAAATCCAAACCAAATTTACGGAGCATTAACTAACAGAGAATTGAAAACACAAGTTTAGAAAAAAATAGAGAAAATGCACCAAACTACTCCGTGTTTTAAAGAAACAATCTTTTAAATTTTCATTTTTAAAAGAATTATATTTTTTTATTAAAACACTATATCCAACAAACTTATGGTATGCACAACTAGTGGTCCATCTTACAAACTACAACTACTCAATAAATATTAAGGTGGTCACTTTGTTAATATTTTTCTTCATTATCTAAACAAGCATAAACTGAACAACAATCGCACTTAAAACAAGTACAATATCACAGTAAGTAAAGAGCACATGCATATCACATGATAGACAAAAAAGGGTCACTTATACTAATTGGATATCCAAATTTGGACTTGGCAAAATATGATGTTTTAAGGAAAAAAAAACTCTTAAAAAACGGAATTTAAGTGTTAGGATAAAAACGAATACATTAAACATAATTTCCCACAACAAATTCATTTGAAAATAAATATTCCCTCCGTCCCATTTTATAACGCCTATTTTGACTTTAAGTCATATTTAAGGAAGGAAAAAATTAAAGTTGACTTTCCAAAATTGCCCCACTTTATTTTTTTAAGGTGTGTAGGAGTAATTACATGGAAGGGTATTTTGGGAAATCCACAAAAATAATCATACCAAATAAAAAAACAGACATATCATTTTGGGATGAACGAAAAAGGAAAACAACCATTATATTTTAGACAGAGCAAGTACAATATATTGTGTGAAAACATGAATAATCGCTGAGAACATAAACAACACATACCCGGCAATAAAATTGATTTATAGGAAAAGAACTATCAAATGTTATTAGGGATAACCAACATTGATTTTAGGTGCCAAGGTCTAATTCAACTTATAGTTGAAGCTTTGGTTATTGCATGTCACATTTTGAAATGTGGTTCAAAAACAGCAAAAAGGAGTAGAAACAGAGCCAAACTCTTAAAAATGAATGGCTTTCTCGTATGTGATACACCTACATATTTTGATTCTCATTGGGGAAAAAATCAAAACCGATGGTAAAGAACATTTCACAAACAGAAAAACAGACATCTTTCTCTTCACATCGCACAAGGAATACAAGCAAGCTTCAAAATGTTGTAATCGAAAAGCGCATATAAACGTAGTTTTTGGTAGATCTTAGTAGGCTATAACCCTAAAACATCATATAACTAGAAAAACTTGTACACAACAAAGACAACATAACCAGTTCGATTTGTATTGTGATAATTTGGGAGCATACCCGTCACAAGACATTTAAAAGTAACCAAGGAGTACAAAATTCGAAAGGATACGAAGCATCCATTTGTGTTCGAATGCCAAGCTGAATGTGGAACTCGAATGATCCTTTGGTGAATGCCTCAACCATGCAACACTTCATTGGCAGCGGCATTCAGCATATTTACAAAATACTGACTGTTTATCTCTAGTTTCCTTCTAACTGTAAATCTCAAAAATGATCAGAAGAAAACATGTTCATTGATGCTTTTTTTGTAGGACGCTTGTTTTTTAACCGAAGAAGCCCACAAGTATATTTGTAGCACAACCGGCACCCATAGCAATGCAGGATTACTGACTTTGATCAGATATTTATATGCTCCAAGATAATCAAAGACTCCTCAAATAAGTTCTCTTTGAATGCATTGATTGTAATTCCATCATAGTAGTATACTACTTTCCAGATATATGATAGATGTAGATGAAAAGAAGATGATATTAACGGTTCCAAGTATAAGACCAGTGAGGGGCTAAAACAGATCCAGTCTCCATGTGGCATATACTCTAATCTTCATTGTAAGAAATCCGAGGCAGGCTTGTACTTGCCAGTTGCCAAATACCCAAACAGTTGAACACGGACTAACACTTTCACGAGATAATGAGAGGATCGAAATTTTACCAGCTTAAGCTCCAGCTAGTAAACATAACAAGAGGAAGAAATAGGGAGAGGGAGAGGGAGAGAGAAAGCATATGAAGGCCTTTAACTGTCCTGGACCGTGGCATTGTTAGTCTCTGTAACAGTAATCGTGATTGGCTTCCATGCTGACGGATGATGTGTGATCCATTTTTTTATATTGATAACCACGTGCAAGATCTTAAGTAATTCACCAAGGGTAAACTCTTTTAAACTATTGTCCCTTAAAACAGTTGCTGCTTCATACCTTCAACAAAACACAATAATGTCATAATTGTTATCCGATTCAAAGTGGGATGATTTTTTGTATATTGGGATGTACAACCTGGTGTTATACCAGGTTAATGTGTTTCATGATCAGCCAATTAATATTTTGTAGTGATCTACTAATGTTAATCAGGTGCTAGGGTAAATTTTATAAATTATACCTGCTTCGAGTAGCCAACAGAGCAGATTTTCCAACAGTGGATGATATGAATTTATAGATTTTATCCCAGATTTCTGTTGAATATTCCTTTGGATTTACACCAATTGGATTGGCACACTTCCACAATAAACTATTCTTGCGCACATATAGTTTCAAGGTTCCTAAGTATTGCATTACTACCATCTGATGTTTTAGTGAACTCTCAAGAGCCTTCTGAACATTAGTGTCACGATAACGTGGGTCTCCAAAACGAATGCAATCGGTGATGTTTTCTTCAGTTGGCATAAGCATCTCCCTTTTTAGCGTATCCAAAGCACGCATAATAACCTCCCCTTGGCTGAGCACATAGTCATAGTCAGAACGGGTTGTGGATGAAGTTGACGTCACACTCTCTTTCCCATAGAGCTGGTAACTGTTGGAATCTTTCTCACTGTAAATTGAAGTTTGTTCTTGGATATTTTGTCCTTTCTGAGGCACGTTGAGATTGGGATGATCAGAAGAATTGATACTTGGAAATGGTTTCACCTCTTTTTCATTACTTGGTTGAAAAAGAGAAGGGTTGCATCCACTAATGGGAAATTCACTAACTTTTGGCCTGCCATTGTCAGGTGCAAATGTAGGGCGGGTGTGTGGAAGCGGTGGAAACGGATTGGCTCTTGCTGGCGGTGGCATGTTTGGTCTTGCTGGCATTGTTGAGGAGTTTTGACATTGTTTTGTTGTGTTACTAGCATTCATCAAAGATGATACAGGGTAAGTGATGCTTGGAGTAGGTCGAAATTGTTGAAAATTGTTGGGAATGGGTCGAAATCCTGGTCTATGAGCTGCTATATCTTGAGAACTGTTGAGATTTTTAGAGTATTCCTGTCCTTGATGGAATATCGGGTTAATATGGTCTTCATGAGGTCCCACCATCAGACTTGAATTTCTTGACATACTACTGGATTGAAATATATTTCTTCGAATGTGTTTGCCCGTATAATTAACATCTGGGCCACGTCCAATGTTGTTGCCAAACTTATTGTTAGCATAATGAAGACTTTCAGGCTGCTTAGCAGAGGATTGATTTGAATGAATGGAAACACTATCTGCCATAGTTAATTGATTGAACTCGCTCTTAGGAAGGGGTGGGCCTCCTGATAAAAGACTTGTCCATAGCCATACATTCTTTGCTGCAGCAACAAGAGCTGCAGAAGCATTTTGAGGTTGTGCTAGAAGAATATTGTATCTGCGCATTCGTAACTGGTGGAGAGCGTTAGAAAAATCTCGATCGCCAGATATCAACAAATAATTCGCAGGGGCAGGATTATCCACTGCCCAAAACAGCATATCCACAAGAATCTTCTTGTCGCTTGCATCTTTAGCACCTAATGTGCACAAAAATATATTTACAATTACCCAATGAATGGCATTCATAAATATATTCAAATGAACAAATATCATTTACGCCCAGCTTGGGAGAATTAATCAGCTTATTCTCAGTAGAGAGTGCCATAAGAAATGTGTCCTAAGCTTGAAGTTTCATAAACTACAATGAGTATAAAAAAAGGTCACAATAGCTCATCCGTCATGAAGATGGCTACCCAAAGTGAAGCCAGCAAGATTTCTTATACATCTGTTTTCATTTAGGACAATAATATTTCAAATTTCACTTGAAAAACATGTGAAATCCCTAATACAAATCATCCGCACAACTACTATAATCCAAACCTCCATCAACACATTAGACCTACCAATTAAAATCATCAGATAAAATCATTGAAATTCCTAAATCCGTATTGTCGGCACAAGAAAATGCAACAAAAATCAAAGCATTATTCTCTCTAAATCGTGAAACAGAACTCTCAAAAATCACAACCGCAACCGTTTTATACGGAGCAGCAAGGCATACATACCAGCGGGGACATGGTTCAGAGCGATTCCGGTGCTGTTAAGGGCGTGTTGAGTCGACGATGAGATCTTCTTCGTGTCGCCGTAAGCGGAAATGGAAACAGGTCCGCGGTAGTTCATCGCCACCAGCGCGGAACTAATGTTCTGCGCGATGGCGTGCGGGTCGCAGTTCACCGGGACTTGGCAGTTCTCTATGTCCCACCACACCGATATCTTCCCAGCCGAGTAAAGCGGCTCGGCCGCCTCCGTCGACGGAGATGCTCCTCTGCCCGAAACGCTCATCGATTCTACAACTTCCGGCGACGAATCTCAGTCGTCCGGTGAGCGAAGTGCCGAGCGGAAACGAGAAGACAGTAAACCCGCAGGGGAGTTAAATTTGAAAGGGAGGAGGGAGGAGGGAGGAGGGAGGAGAAGACGGAAGCGGAAAGGTTTGGACGGGGGTCGGGCCCTAGTGGGCGGTTGGCGGCCTATTTCTTGGTGTAAAGCCGTCAATCCCAAAAAATGTACTCACACTTATTACTAGTACTTTCCTTTTTTAGAATTTTAGGTCATGTTATTAGTTATGTTTACGAGGTTTAATTAATTTTATTTTTAATTTAATTCAATTTATTTGATTGTCTTTGTAATATTAAAAAATAAATTTATATATTTAATAACTATATCAAAAATCTACAAAATAAGAGGTGATAAGACTATATTATTTTATGAAATAAATAATGAAAATAGGTGAAAAAGATAATTAAAGTTTGACCGCGTGAATACTAACTGCGAAGAACATTTTAGAACGAATGAAGTAATTCTTCCACATACGATCACTCAATTTTTTCGAAATAAACTAGATATATTTCGATTATGAATTAGATAAAGTATTAGTATGGTCTATGTATATAGTATGGAGTATGTATTTCTCTTTGCTTATAAACTGAACAACTTATAAGCTGTTTTTAAATTATAAGTCAGTAGATGTTGTGTTTTTTTGTGCTTATGACCTGCATGTAAACTAAGAAATATAAGTAGGTAACTTGTTTTTAAGCCAATTTGTTCGTTTCTCCATTTAGACCAAATTGTTTACAAAATTTTTCCTCATCCATTATCAATATCCCCAAATGACTTTTATATCATTCAGGTCATTCTATCTACATGAAAGAATTTTTTATTTATAAGCATCTTATAAGTTGAAATCTACTTATAAGCAATAAGTCTATAAACATCAGCACAGAGAAAAACTCGCATTGATGGTGTAAAACCGTGCAAATATTAAGTACGAATATGCGAAATGACTGTAGGTGGGAATACGTGTAACCCGATTTGTTATTAATGATATTAGGACTGTTTACAAAATACAAGTCGTGTGGATTAATTAAAGCTTGCCTCACAAATGATGCTTTTAGTCTTATTTATAATAATGAAGAAGCACGTCAAGCAGGTATCCGTTCTTCCGATCGGTCAGTCTTCAACCGGTCAGCATGCATGCCTTTGTCAGACGAATCCATGTTCCTGATTACGAATCTTTCCATACATGACCGGTCAGACTACCCGAGCTGACCAAGTACCTCTCGGTCGGTTGCGAACCTACCGGGTGGAATCAATGGGTTATTACTCATCACAGATAATATTAGTACACAACTAACAAATGATTAGATTTGTCTTATAGAATATTTTTATAGATCTATCTTTACATTTTAATTTATAATACAAATTTAATTTTAATTTTTTTTGACGGTATTTAATTTTAATTGAAGATTAATAAAATGTGTTTAATTTAATTAAAAAAGTCAAAATAAATGAAGAAACATTCAACTCACCATGTTACTTTCTCCCTTCTACTACATAAATTTTACACACTATCCAAATATAACAAAGTATACTAGTATTAACTCCGTCCTTCGCACAAACTCGCGTATTTTCTAAATTTTAACATCTAAAAAATAAAATATTGTTTATTTAAAATTCTTTAATGATATATGATTTGTTTGATAATTTTTTTAGTATAAATATCTCTTCTAGAGAGAAAAATTTAGTTTTAAAATTGACGTTCATGCACTAAAATTAATATAAACTTTTATTTTGAGATGTAATAAAAGAGAAAATGATGAATACTTTATTAAAAACAACATCAGGCTTTTTTTAAAGATTAATAAAGTTTATAATTTTTTTTAGATATATAACTAATTATGTATGAAACATATTTTAAAAATATATATTTTAAAATGGTGTAACACATTAACTCTAAATAAATACAATCATTGGATGAAATAGATTAAGATTTTTTATCTATATACTCCCTTCGATTCAAAAAGATTGTCATAGTTTTATTTTTTTGGTAAAAATTATGTAACACTTTGATTACAGATTAATTACAATTTTAAATGATTAAATGTCATAAAAACTTGATATATGAATTTTAAATGGACATTTTTTAAAATTTACACTATATCTAAACATAATATACTTTTTGCATACTTTGTGGTCAAAATATAGAGCAACTTGACCCAAAATATCAAATTTTTATCAAATGAAATAATAATGAAAAAAATTTAATTATTGAAAAAGTAAAATAAAAATTCCAAATAAACAACTTAAGTAATGATAAATCATTGAAAAATATGTATGTGGTATATGGCCTATATGCCATGTGTTAGGTTATCCTTCAACAAAAAAATTACTTAATTTAATTTGTTTAAATAATATATAAAAGATTATATAATTTTCGAGTAAAAATATTTTGAACTAAAATATATAGTTAACAAAATATTGTTATTTGTTAGAAATAACAAGATAAAATAAATGTTGGATTGCTTTTAAAAATATACAAAATGTTAGGTTTTTTTAAATAAAAAAATTATAATACTTTTATTTGAACAATAATATAATTATGCATATTTAAAAATATGTTATGGTAATGAAAATATATTTTTCTAATAGTTATAAAGTGAAGGGTTTTATAAAAAATAATAAACATCATGATTACTTAAAAAAGTAAATGATTTTATAAATACTTAATAAAGACAATGGTGAATTAATGTTAGAAAGTTAAGATTTTTAACATATCAATAAAATTAATACTTATTTAATATAAAAATAAGTATGCACACCTGGCAAGACATGTGACATGGTGTGCATAGCTAGAATGAAAAGTTTACACAAAATTAAGGGTTATTGATTGAAGTGTTAATCGAAATTGTTTTTTATTAAAAAATGTCAAGTGAACCAATTACATCTTGACATGTCATTAGAAAATCCATATGCGGCATATGTCGCATTTCGTCATTCGTTTAAACAAAATATATAAAATAATTATTGTGTGAAATTAGTCTTGTATTAAATATAAATGCATATATTTATCATAAAATTTATATAATCGTAATAGTTTTATTGAGAAGTATACAAATGAAATAAATGGTGAATAGGTTTAGAAATTATATACAATGTTGGTTTTTAGTTAATGAAGTTTATATATTATTGTGTTATAATAATTATGCATTATTTTTAAAAAATATGATATACTAATTTAATTAAATAGATATTTTTTTTTAAAGTTTTCAAAATTGAAATGCCTATAAATAACTAATAACCATAATGGTTATTTAGTGTTTAAAGACGAAGGTTTATAAAATTTTAATAAAAACTAAGGTTATTTAATGCTAGAAAGTGGAGGGGGTTTATAAAAATTTAATAAAAGTAAAAATGCACTTGTTGCATCACATGTGACATGGGGTGCATACATGGCATGAAATGATTACATTTGATACAAAATAAATAGTCATTGAATAAAACAATAATGAAATAAATTTCATCAATTAAAAAATTTAAAGCAACAAATTTCAAATGAATAAATTAACTAATGATACATAATTAGAGAATGCATATATGACATACAATGCACATTATCTTTCAACTCTAATTTTGTTTTGTTTAGTTTGTTAAAAAAATATACATAGTATACTATAATATACGTACTTTGTATCATTAATAAGACAAAAAGTTTGAAATAATTTTGTATTTGATAAGTATTTATATGTGATAAAAAATTTATAATATTGTTTTGGAAATTTGATAACAATAATGGTTCTCTTTATTTCTCTATCAATTATTAAATAAAATAAATTTTAAAATGGAAGATTTACTTCATTTTGGCTTTCATGTAAGTCATTTTGAGAGGAAGGAAGTAAGCTACTTGCTCACCAAATTTGATATCCCAGGTCATGCATTACAAATGTGCACTTTCAATTTGTGTTATTGTGATAGTTCACACACGCATAAGTACTACTCATTTTCTAAAATGTTCTTTCCAATTACTTTTCACGTGATCAAATTTTAATCACTTTTTTACCTATTTTTATTAGGTATTTAATAAAATAATATAGTCTTGTCACCACTTGTTTTGTAGAACTTTTGATGTAGTTTTTAAATATATAAATTTTATTTTTTTAATTTTACACCTACAATCAAATAAATTGAATTGAGAATAAAGTCAGTCAAATCTCGTAAACATAACTGGGAAGAACATTATAGGATGGAGGGAGTACCATACTAGTACAATTATTTTTATCTCACTATTATTTTTGCTTAGAATAAACTATAAAATTTTTAATACATATTTTTAGTGTACATTTTACGGTATACTTCCTCCGTCCCAAAATATTTGCAACATTTGCTTTTTTCAGCAGTCGCGGGAAGTTTTATTTATTTCTACGTTTTCATTGGTTATTGGATGAAATAAAATATTTTCACACCTCTTATTTCAAAAAACTTTTCATGTAGTTTTTTGATATGTAAATTTTATTTTTTATTTATATACCAATAAGTAAATAAAATGAATTTAAAAAATTTGACATTTTACCTCAAGAATACAAGTGTGGTAAATATTTAAGTAGGGACGGAAATATTCTCTTGGGTAACTCTAGCATGGGGGAATAAATGGTAACCTAAATCAACGTCATTGCTGCGACTCCGCAATCTACCCTCCCGAAGATCAAGCGGCTGTTATAATTCCACGTGGGCGAATCCTCTCTCCCGACGTCAAGATTTCCCGATTTGCCGCGCTGAAGTCATTCCAAACCCAGGTTCGAAAATTGTCCTCTTCACTAAGCCCGAGGCTCGGACTTCCCGAGCCACCCCGAGCCTAGTACCCCCCGTCCCCACCAAGTCAGCGATAATCACCAGTAGCCAGCTAGCCAGAGAGAGAGAGAGAGAGAGAGAAATAGACGGAGCATTTTACGCTCGTCGCCAAATTCTCCGCCGTCCGGTGAGCTGTTTCCGGTCAATCTTCGCCGGAATTCCATCTCCCGTCACACCCACGATCTCCGTCTTCCTTCCCCTTTTATACCCACATTTCCAGCAGCTTTCTTTCCCAGAAGCACGATTCTCGTGTCTCTTAGAAACCATAACAGTAATAATTATATTTTTTTTTCTTGGGAAAATCTCAAATTGACTCTTTCTCTGTCTGAATTCCTGTTTGATTTTCCGCTTTCTTGAGAGAGAGAGAGAGAGTTGATTTTCTCCCCCATTTTCTAACTTGAATTCAAAAAAGTTTGAATTTTTCCTGAATAAAACGCTGGCTTGTCAATGGGTCCAGCTGACTAAATGCTTACCTGCCGCTTTCATAATAACGATCGCAGCGAGAAGTGGGTTTGCTAGTGTTACTGCCGTATAATTCCGTTGATGTCTCTGGCGGAACGGCCGGCGGCGTCTTCGTCGGTGAAATCGGATGGAGGAGAGGTGGATCCGCTGTTGAAGGATCTGAGCGAGAAGAAGCAGAGTTTCCGGCGGAGCGTGGTGTCGCTGGCGGCGGAGCTGAAGGAGGTGCGCGGCCGCCTTGCATCTCAAGAGCAGAGCTTCGCTCGCGAAACCCTAACCAGACAGGTTGGTTCTGTTCCCTCTTCAATTTGTCTCATTCAAATTCATTTATTTTGTAAATTAATCCATTTAAATTTACAGGAAGTGGAGAGCAGGGCGAAGAAGATGGAAGAAGAAATAAACAGATTGCAGAAGAATTTGGAGCAGAAAAATCTGCAGATTCAAGCTTCAACATCCACTGCTGAGAAGGTACTGTTTTTAATTAATTACTCTCTCTTTTACTAATTCAAATTAATTACTTTTCAAAAAAAACATTTTCATGTTGAAAAAATTAGGGTGGACCTGAATTCAGGGTTTCAGGTTTTGTTTGTTTGGCTTTGAGTGAATTTACTTTATGGCCCATTACAAAGGCATCTTTTTTCTTTTGGCCTTTGGTGTTTGTTCATATGAGTTTCTGTATTGTCTTTTGTGCATTTTTTTATAATGGTTCAAAGATTTGTCTCAATTTCTAGTAAAGCATTTGTTTCTTTCTTATCTTGTCCAACTACATACTCCCTATGAAAATGGAATCTTTACACCATGTTTGGTTCAAGGAATTTGAAAGGAAAAGAAAAGAAAATGAAGTGGATTCTTCTTGTTTGGTTAGAGAGGAAAAGAAAGGAAAAATAAAAGGAAAAGATCGAAAATGAGAGACAAAATGTATCAAGTGGAGGAAAAACCAAATTCCTCCCATTTTGGTGAGGAAAATGAGAGAATCAATTTCTTTTTTTTTCCTTCCAAATTCCTTGAACCAAACATAGTGTTAATTTTCATAGAGTTTTAGGCACATGGATGAATGTTATTTACTTTCCATATTTGCACTTGACTGTACAATTATTAAAGTAAGGTGAGTGAAATGGGAATTAGAGATGATGAGAAAGATGTACAGAAGGGTAAAAAAGACTTTATAATTTAACAATGCTAAAATTAGAAGTCTACAGAATCCAATAGGACAGCCAAAAATGACAAGAATTCAAGAGAACGAAAAAGGTATATTCCAATTTAAGTGTACAATATTGGGATTAATTATTTCTCCTATTCCAAACTCCCCATTCTCTTCGTTCTTACTTAACTTCATCATCTTTGTCTATTTATTATTATTATTATTATTATTATTTTAATAAACTAGGTCTCTTGGGAATTATAATGCACGAACATGGATTCATGACAAAACAATTCCAAAAAAATAAAGACACCACAAGGCATGAACCCAGATGCATACCTACATATCAATTGTAAAAAAAAGAAATATTCAAAACAGTTTAGAAACATGTACTCATTCATTCATTCATAAAACATAGTTAAAATACCAGTTAGATCTTCGATAATACGAACAAGCGACATAATCCAAAAATTACAAGTTCTAAACTTCAATTTATTGTAAGCAAAAAATGATGTTGTTCTTAATTAATTCATATGCAGTATCTGTTAGAGGTGGATGATCTTAGATCCAAACTCTCAGCCACTCAAGCAACTGCAGATGCAAGTGCAGCAGCAGCACAAGCTGTGCAACTCCAGTGTCTTGCACTCATAAAGGAGTTGAATGAGAAAAGCAAATCGTTGAAGGAACACGAAGAGCGCGTGAGTAGACTCGGGGAGCAGTTGGATCTCTTGCACAAGGATCTCCAGGCAAGGGAGTCTTCCCAAATGCAGCTGAAACATCAAGTCTTAAGGATTGAAAACGATATCAGGCATGCTTTGGCCAAAGAACTCGATGACGTTTCGCCAAAGAAGCTTAATAAGATCACTGAGCTCTTAAGTCTTAAAGATCAAGAGATCGCCAGGATGAGAGATGACATAAAGACCATGTCTGCTCATTGGGAGCTAAAGACCAAGGAGTTGGAATCCCAGGTTCCGTACACACATCCCGTTTCTTCCCTTTTCTTTTCCTTGAAAAATTTAATCCATGGCTGTTAATGAGGGTTTTTTTTCTTCGTGAAATAGTTAGAAAAGCGTCAACGCGCAGATCAACAGTTAAAGAAGAGGGTCATTAAGTTGGAATTTTGTGTCCAAGAGGCTCGTGCTAAGCTCCGGATGGTAATCCATACATGCTTTTCTATTTGTTACTTTTAGCCTTCCAAGCAATTTGATTGTGGTAACTCTTAACACTGAAAAACCAGAACATGGACTTCCAAATTGGTTGTTATATTTTCTTCCCTAGCTCATACTAACTTCTACTTCCTCTGTCTCACTGGAAGTATCCAACTTAGAGTGCAATTTGTAGTGCAAATTGCATTTCAAGTCGGAAAATTTCAGCGGGGTAGATGAAGATGAAGTGCTTATTCTCGGTTAATCCCAAGTCAGGCACCAGTTTGTTTCTTAGTGGACATTTCACATTATTTCATTCTTTTAGTATAACTTGAATCAAGCAGAAACTTTTTTTTTGGGTTGCAGATGGGAGAAAAACAAGAAGAAGCTCTTAAGGAAATCAGAGACCAGCTGGCTAGTAAACAAGGTTGTGGCGGGTCTTCAAGCAACGAGAACCAGAACTTTTGGGAGAAATCCGGGTTCAAGATCGTGGTCTCCATGTCAATGCTAGTTCTGGTGCTCTTCTCAAAGAGATAGCTGCTGGCTTTCTGCTCTTGGCATGTAAATGGAGTTTGTACAAACGCAGCCGGTAGCTAGAAAAGGAACTCTTCATGGCATGTTTAGGGTAGTGTCGTAGAAAGCGCAGATCGTTAGGGCAGTTTAGTGCTTAGGCCAGAATGGTTAGATGGGTATTCTTACAATGATGAGAGGTGATGGCACTGTCCTACAACCACAATTATTTGTGAGTAATTGTTATTAATTGCAGATTTATTATTGTTATTATTATTAGAAATGATGAAAACATTTTCAAGCTGTACTTGAAAAGAAGGGCTGCCCTACTGATGTTCATTTGTGGGTGCATCATCTTCAAGGGTAGGACCAACAGAGCCTTTGGTATGAACTTGTCAAGTTACACTAGGGATTGAGGAATCTGAACAAAACTGAAAATTTGACCCAAGCTGGACAAAAGAATCTGACCTAGAAAACTGATCAAACTGGTTGAAAGTTTCATATTTCAACCAGTTGTCGGCTATCTTTTGTTATATATATGAAATGTGTTGGTCGTCATTTGCCAAAACTCATCGGTTTTTTGGTTTGACGGTTTTTGATTCCCAATTATAGCCAATAAGTGGTAATCAAAAACCAAATTAATGCTCACCTATTCTTCATAATACCCCATAATGGCCTATGCCACTTTGCTTCCATTAAAAAATGGCAATTCAGAACCATGGCTTTAAAATTCATTTTATTTTTTGCCAATATATATTTAGAGAATTTCCCAAATCTAAGCACCATCATATTTCAAGAATACAACATTTTCGTCAAACTTAACTAGTGGAAATTGAAACTAGCGAACGAGAATCAAACATCAAAGAACAATACAAAAGAGAGAATTGTGGAAAACACAGAAGAAAAAAACAAGTACTACACCATGTAAGGTAGTATATCACTTCTAAAGGTTTACTACTACTATATGTTTCCAAATCAAGAAAAGAGATAAGAGAAGTGTAATAAGAATTTGATTTACATAAGTCACAACTTTTAAGGCATATAATAAATCCACTGATAAACTAAAGTCCCCAATCTGCAACAGTCACAAGTCATAACATAATCCCTACAAACAATGTGAAAGATTAAAGAGTGCTGGAGACCTCAATCTAAGGTTGTATTCCTCCAACAAAGGTACTGTACATAGGACCAGAGAGCCAAAGCCCAGTTTTTGTAACATTGGGATAGGCAGGATTTCCCACACTCAGACTTTCAAAATAAGTGTCCCAAAACAGATGGATGAGACCATCAGAAAGACGGGACCAAGGACGGGTTGCAGAAGGGTAGATGTGGAAGTACTGGCTGGAGAAATGCCAGGAATTTGCCCGGTAGGAGTGATGATGGGAATAGTAGGATTGGTCATGTTTGGAAACACTGGCGGGAACGTCCCCGTGCTGCAAAAGAATTTTGTTATTAAGAAAAATTAGGGTTATGTTTGGTCCACACCGAAGTTACACCAACTCCAATTTTACATGCGAGATTTGTCTGTGTCACACACAACACAGACAAATCTTGCATGTGAAGTGCAAAAACAAAGTTGATGTAACTTTGATGGTGTACAAATAGTTTGATCCCAAAAACCAGTCTCTATGCGGATTTAGTTGTCCACGTTTCCCTTTTGGGGTTGTCTGGAATAACTGTCCGCACACCTCGTGTTGCCAACAATGGAGGACAAGCCAGTCACAAGTTTTTCTTTGTCAATTCACCCTTTCTTTAAATTCGAAGCATAGAGAAGAAAACAATGGACAACTAAAACCGGAGGGACGCACGAAGTAGCTATGAACTTACCCGGGCACTCCTCCGGGAAGAGGTGAAGATGTTGTGGTAGTTGGAGACATAATGGGAGTTGGAACTGCCGTTGTTGGTGTTGGAATTGGAACTGGAACTGATGAAGTTGTCGGTGGTGGTGGCATTTGTGGGACTGGTGATGGAGATGAAGTTGATCCTGATGTTGTTAGATACACACAACTGTCAAAACCTGAAAATTTTCACAAGAGTTAGTGAGCAGTACACTTTTTTTATTTTTGTTGGTGATTTTTGAGTTTTAATGAAGTTGAAAACCCCCGCTCCTTGTTACTACATTCGTCACTTTGATCGTCAATTAAATAAAAAAAAGTTAAGGGAACACCACATTTTGACACCACAATATTGCAACAGACACACAGACAGAAACAGTTTGTGAGGCAAAGAGCTAGATATCTGCTAAAGAGTACTTCATTCATTTAGATAGATTTCTAATTTAAATTTTGCTACAATAACACCAAGAGCATAGAACATCATAAAGACAATAATTCTTTTCTCACAATTAGGGTCTGGAAAATTATTGGGGTACCTCAACAACTATACCGTTCATTGTACACTAAAGATAAACACATACTCCCTCCGTCCCATAAATTTCTTCTCTTTTCTTTTTTTCTTTGTCCCACAAAGTTCTTTCCTTTTTTTATTAAAATACCATTTTTACCCCTATTGACTCTTAACCTAGATATCAAATCGTACCTTTTTACTAAAAATCTACCCATCACATCAAAGATATTTTTAAAAAGTCAACACAAAATAGAAAGAACTTTAAGGGAAGAAGTAAGTACATTTTCCTGTTGAAAAATGTTTGGGGTACACCAAAAAGTGTATTTTAAATGTACACCACTCCATTCCCACCACACAATCTTACATGTGGAAGCAAATTAAAAAATAAATGAAAATTCAAAGGTTAGGATCAATGTACAAATAGGGTACACCAATTGGTGTACCTCTAGCATGACTCTTTTTATCTGTTCGGGCACAAACATTATTTCTATGTTTTACTTGGTGACAAATCTTGTATAATTTTGGGGTCCCTCTACTATAGTGTTATTCTAGCATTTTTGTTCTTGAGTTCAACTAAATTTCATGACACCGAGAAGATTGAATTGAGTTTTGGCTTACTCGGATTTAAGGTGGTGATCGTGGCAGTCCCCCCGAAATCGCAGCTACCAGGCGACGGGTTCTTCTGATAATAGGCGTTAAAGGCGAACGAGGCGTGGCTCTGCACAGTGCTCGGGTTGAAACACCTCCCGTTCTGCTGAATCTCTTTGCAATCCACTTGTCCGCAAGCGTAATCCAGCGCCGGCTGCAGACTAGAATCGGGTAATCCGGGTCTAGCCACGCACCAGGTCTGGCCGCCCGTCGGATTGGTTGCCGCCGGCGGAGCGGAGACGGCGGGTGACAGAGGAGGGTTAGTACTGGCAGGCGGCGTTGTGACCGGATTTGTGATCGGTCCTGCATTGTTAGGGTTCTGAAACGGAAACGGTGTGGTGGTGGTGGCCGCCGGAACAGTAACAACGGCAGGGATTAACGGATCTGCTTCCCCTTCACACAAACAATACGATTACTTAATTCTCTCTGTGAGTCCCCAGTTAAAAATTTGATCTTTGCTTGGTTTAATTTTATCAGAGAAATGAACAAAATACGAAATGAGAAAGAAACCCTAAACCCTATCCTATGAATAATTCAGAGATCTAAATTGTACACAGATTCTCAATTCAATTTTTTTTTGTGATACACTGAATTGAGTTTGATTTTTTTTACTTTCGTTTTTTTATGATTCCAACTTTATCTCAAAATATTCGTCTAATTTCATTTTTTAGGTTCAAATTATTGATAATCAAATGCATAAAATTTGTATAGCATATTAGTAGGAAAATCATTTTATTACTCCATATATTTATCTTACAAAAATCTTTCAAAAACTGTACAAAATTATGTGTTTGAACTCTCTCCTTGGCACTAGCTAGCTCTAGTCTATCACTTATTAGGAGCAAAGTTGAACAGGTGAATTTGGGTGAATCCAAGTCCAGTAAAAAGTAAAAACTAGATTTAAAAAAAAACTAATGTAAAATTAGGTGAACCTACAAACTTAAATGGTGTTTTTTTTTCTTCATACTTTTTGGGATTTTAAATCTCTTCAAAAAGAAAAAAATGGCATAGAACCATAGAAAAATGCCACATCAAGAACCATAGAAAAATGCCACATCAAAGAAAACATAGAAAAATGCCACATCAAAGAAAACAGTGCTAGGCTAGCTACCAGTAATAAAGTTAATTGCAGATGCTTACCAGAAGAAGAACAAGAAAGGAGTAGACACCGGAAGAAGAAGATGAAGATGATGAAGAAGGAAGCCATTGCAGCCATTTTATTATATTACAGAGAGAGAGAGAGAGAGAGAGAGAGTAGACCGACCACCTTATATAAAGCTAAGACTGCAGTGAACCAGTTAACCTGTTTACTCACGTCGTTGAAAATCTATTTTTAATGGAATTAAGGTTCCTAGCTAAAGAGTAAAGATGATGATGACGATGAAAGTGGTGGAAAGGGAGATAAATAAAGTTGTACTCTCATCTCCCCAAAACTTTGTGTCTCTTTAAAAAAAATTGAACCCCAAGTTTCTTAGTGCTAGCCTGCCGGTGGGAGTTGCGCAGTTGACAAAGGCAAGGAATGTCAAGAGGGAAGATTCGAGGATTAATGGCAAATGCGTTGAGAAGCAACAATGTTAAGCATGGGGCATCTGCAAATATCAGGTGCATGTCTGCGATCATAGTCTAATTTGTCACTTCAGGCCTTCGGGGATAAAGCTCATTCTTTTTTTCTTAATGCTAGTCCGAAATGGTCATTTTTTGTCATTGGTGTTAGCGAGACGAACCCAAACTTACTCCCTATAATTCGACACCCACCTCTCAACCACTTGAATTATGTCATTCGGTCACTTATGTGTTTGCTTTTAATTTCATTTTGGTTAGTGTTAAAAAGACTAGTGAATGTATTTTAATAATACTTGAGTTTGACATCATGTATTTCAAGACATACAGAGGTAATGTCTCTCATTACAAATTTTAATTTTCACATTTTTCACTTTATTAGAAAAGTATACTCAATTAAATTTGGCACATCTTTTTGAAGAGGAAGGGGGAGGGGGAATATAACAAGACCAGAAAAAAGATGGGCAAAAAGTAAAAGGGGAGAAGAGATGAGAATATGATGTGTGGAAAAGCTAGAAAAAAGTTGATTCCTTTGGCATGAAGCTTTTGATTTTTTTAACGGGGAATTTAAATATTTTTTGGGTAGAGTCTCGAGTAAAAAATAGATGAGATCAATTTTTACAAGTTCTATATACTCGGTATTTTTTAATTTGTTTCTTTGATGGGAAAAGAAAGATATAAAAATGATTTTGAAATTTCATTGTACGCGTGTGTTTGGTTTGGAAGAAAATATTTTACTAGAATAATACTTTTCAAAGGAAAATGATTTCTAAGAAAAATTATTTTCCAATCATATATTTCATTATTTGATATAAAGGAAAATGTTAAAAAAAACTAGTTTCTATTATTAATATTCGAAAATTAGTATTGAAAAAGATGTTTGGGGACAAGGGGGCGGGTGGACACGTGAGGTTGGGGCGGAAAAAGAATGAAATTTTTCTTTCGAAATCAAACGAAAGTCATTTTCTTCTTGATACAATTTGATAATAATTGATCTTATTGAACAATGAAGAATACATTCCTATAAATAGGGATGACAAGAGAGAATTTTAATCTAAGTAGGAAAAAAATTATAGTAATAATCCAATAATAAAGTAATGTTATAATAAATGTAATGAATAATATATTATATTTCCTAATACATCTATTATTTCTAATATCTCTATGATCATCGGTAACGAGGAAAAGCTTGAAGCACAAATACTGGAATTGAGCAGGCGAAAGTAATTTTGTAAGGATAACCTCTATAAGCAGAGAGCCAGATCTTCGTTACATGACGAACGAGAGACCAAGAGATAAATGTAAACTCAAAAAAGTCTATTATCTCTCTCTTTCTCTCTAAAAAGCACAGACAAATGTAACTTTCTTGTTCTTTGATTACGCACATAATTTTATTGGAAGATATCGAAAGAAAATGAATTATTTAGAGAGAAAGAGAGAGATAATATATTTTTTGAGAGAAAGAGAAGGATAATGGGCGATGGCTCTAAGGCACGCTCGTCGAGATTGGCTGGTGACGCCTTGCTGTCTCACAGTCACCCGCCGTGAACAGAGACTGGCAATGAGCTCGGTCAGAAAAGAAAGGGTTAGGTTTTTTAGAATTTTAGCTCCGATACCATAATAAAACTTGATAATAATTGGTTTTATTGAATATTGAAAAATACATCTTTATAAATATGGATTACACGAGTGAATTCTAATCTAAGTAGAAGAAAAATTATAGTAACAATACAATAAAAAAGTAAAGTAATAATAAAGGTAATGAATAATATTATATTTTCTAATACATCTAATATTCCTAATTCTAATCAGGATAACCTATTTTTCCAGAAAATATTTTCCTTCTACTAATGATACCAACGTAGGAAAAATAGAATAAAAATGTTTCTAGAAAAAAATTTCTCTCTAACCAAATACACAATATGTTTCCCTTTTTTACATGGTATAATGGTGATTGGTGATGGACTCTAAATTATAGTGTTTTATGAGAGTATCTTGATTTTTTCCGTAAATATTAGTGAGATAAAGTTATAGGAGATTTTTGTTCTATATGAACCGATCATCTTGTCTTGTCACCATATCTAACGGTCTACCTTCTACGAATGTGGTGGATCGTGAGACGTGATTTCCAAAATTACGAGATCATCTGATTGAGATTACCTCACTTAGGGAATGGATTTAGCCTCGCTCATTTCATGTAGGTCTTCCCATAACCCAATAAATTGGCCCAGTGGGCGAGGGCCTAATATTAGTCAAATCTTATTTATAATAATGAGGTGAATATATTGCTCCTTATATATTACATATGTTTGGGATTTTTGGCCTGCATACACATCATAAATTGTGGTTTCTTCAACGTTGTTTTAGAAGTGAAATCTTTTTCTTCTTCCACTGCCATGTGTTACCCAACAAAACAGAATTTAACTACGTCTATCTTATTCATTTCACTATGTACAACGAATCTGTTAATATATTTTGGATGTTAGCCCAAGCTTATTAGTAATATTTAACACCCAAACCGAGCGATCCATTTCATTAAGCCCATTCTTATCCCAACCTTATTAATATTTAGCCTAAATATGATTTACCCTAATAACCCTAATTAGGGGGTGCCAAAGTGTGCTTGTATAAGTATGTGTATCTTACTTTGTGAAAGTGTGCGAAGACTTACACCTCTTTTCTTTGTGCTTTGTGTGAGGCTAGTCTTCCTTCTCTTTATGTGAGTGTGAGTACTACTCTGTGTGAGTCCATCCCTTTGTGGGGTTCAGGCACAAGAAAGGGAACTTTATGAGACTTAGCAATAGAACAAAAATTACAGTGATCAATGTCTTGAAATTTAAAACCAAGTTTTGAAAGTAAAGACTTGATAACTTGAACAGATGGACGGACAAGGCGGCAATGCCACTAATGAGGGGTGACTTTGACCACATTGATCACCACATACGAACTGGGAAAAGAAGGGAGTATAAGCCACGCTCATAAGGACCCTTGAAAAGCACTTGGTTGGTATTGTTGTCCTGAATTGTAAAGTCATTAGATGTAAAAAGGTGATAACAATTATTATCTTTTGTAAACTGATGGACAGATAGTAAGTGGGAATTAATGGAGGGTGAATGAAGAAAGTTTGGTAGTTGAAATGTGTGATGAGGGGTGATTAAAGTACCTCAGCCTGTATGGTCAGTTTGGAACATATTACCTCCCGCAATGGTGATAGAATTGGTACCTGATAGGGAGAAGAATGTTCCATCCTAGATAAGTCGGACACCAAACGAGCATTTGCACCAGTGTCCAGGTGCTAGTTCTTGCCTGGTCCAGTGGATTGACTCGCATAGTAAGCCTGAGGTGGACTAGAATATGATTCATCATAACAGTGCCAACAATTCCAAGTCGCGTGTCCATCTTTCCCACACAACTGACACATAACCAGGCCACTGCGTGACCCTCCCTTACCACAGCTTTCGTCCCACATGGGTTGCTACTTCCATCCTCCTCGGCTAGAGAGATCGCCACCACCATGGACAGCCCCCCTGCCATGATAAGAGCCTCGGCCTCGGTCACGATCATTGCCCCGACTAGTATTTGTAAACATTGCATTGTAAATATCCAAAGTGAAAACAAAGGTAAAATCGCCAACCTGTAATTCTTTCTCAGTTGTAACATTTAATTCTTCACAGAGTAGCCATGCAAAAACTTGATTAAATGTGACAGTACCAAAATTGGTTGGTTTGAAGGGCCATACTCCGCCGGGAGACCACAGAGAACACATAAAATAAGATCTTTTTTCAGACATGTTCTCATGTGCTAGTGTCAATGAAGAAACAATATTAAATACTTTATTTAGATAAGATTGCATTGAATCACTACCCTTCTAGAGACTATGTAAGCGTTCTTTTAATTGGAAAATATGAGCGCGTGACAAGGATTTATACAGTTGTTCAAAATGACCCAAATTGCCGCAGAAGAGGGAAGATCATGAATATGTGTCTGAATGGTGGGAGAGACAATAGCCAAAAGACATGCCCGAATTTGAGCATCAACAATCATTCATGTTTCATTAGCAGGATTAGCTTTCAGAATTGGCGGCTCTTCTTTTCCCGTGCTAGCCTTCTTTTCATCCACAATAAGAGGTGGAGGATTCGGTTCTGATCTATCAACATAGCCTAGAAGACGATGAGCCATAAGATTTCACCAGTGTAAGAGATTAGAGATTACGGGTAAATAACTTGAGACTGGTATGGAGACGATCCATGGGATCAGTAGAAGATGGGTCCATGGCGATCCCAACGAGAGAAGAGAGATGATGAAGAGATGTTGGAAGAGTATGGCGATTGGTGTTAGGGATAAAAGTATAAAACCCTACCCGGCAATTTTTTCCCCCGATCGGTATTAGCGGGAGGGGAGAAGAAATGATCAAGCTCATATACCATACATGTTGAATAATGAATTGTAGATTTTCCTCAAGTCTAAAGAGAATATACATGGGTGTATATATAGGAAAAGATCCTGACAGAAGTTTTACATTAAGAACTTGTTCTCTTTAGGGGTGTTCAATCGGATCGATCCGATCCGATCCGAAAATTCGGATATCCGAAAATTTCGAATCATGCAAAACTCATTCCATATCCGATCCGAAAATATTCAGATATCCGAAATTCGGATATCTGATTTTTCGGATCGGATCACTGGATTATCCGAAAAGTTTAGTTTTTAGCCAAAATTTACAAAAAAAAAGGTAAAATAGCAAAATCAACCCAAAATATCAAATTCAATATAGATTTACTAAAAGAAAAATTTCACCACTTGGTAATGGCCTAATAAAAAAATGATACCAAATTTAATTTGGGAGTAACTTTTGTAATTTTGCCTAAACAAGCAAAAAAAACACTATTAAAACAAAAAATTCTAAAATGCTAATGCAAAAAGTCCAAAATGGGTGATTTCCAAAATCAACATAAAATTACACTTAAACATATAGTCATAATATATATCCATAAAATTCCAAAAACATATAGCAAAAAAAAATTCGGATATCCGATTATCCGAAAAAATCCAAAAATTTAATCCATATCCGATCCGATTTTTTTCGGGTATCCGATCCGAAATATCCGCAAGCTAAAATATCGGATCGGATATCCATTTTTCAGATCGGATCGGCCCAGATCGTGGACGGATATTTCGGATCGGATATTTTTGAACACCCCTAGTTCTCTTTGTCCGATTTGATTGGATCTGATTTGATTTCATTAAGGTCTGATTTGATCCAGTCTAATCTGATTACAGTTATATTTAAAACTATTTCCATAAGTAATAAGAAAAGTAATTTTCCATAAGTAATAAACATAAGCTGAATAGAACAAGTTCCAAGAGTTATTTGTGCAAAATATTATGGAGTGTTTTTTTACATTTTTGTATAATAATCCGTGCAAAAAGATCTCACGTTTTTAAATCATTACATACATTGAACCAACGACAAACCTCTTTCTCATTACATAACAACACGATTTGCCAATATTGTGTAGCTTTACACAGCATAACCAAATTAAAGATTGTACCACAAAACTTACTCCTAACTCCAAAGATTCACATTAATATTTTGATGACTTACATCAACACGAAATGTTTGTACGACCGTAAGATTTCAAACTAACATTTTACATCAATTTAAGCCACAGTCTTACACTTACATTGATACAAAATGTAAATGTAAGTCTTTAGAGTATATTTTGGGTATAACTTTTGGGGTACAAATAAATTTATTAAAATAAAACAAATCTAAATTATTTTAATATAAATAAAAAATCAATGTGAGGCCCATCACAGTGAGGATAAAAACACTATTTTAATTTAAATTATCTAAACTTTAAATATAAAATAAAAATTTTATTAATATTAAATTTTAAATTACAATGACAAAAGTGTGAAAAAGAAGGATAAAAAGAGTCATAGGAAGCGAAAATTGCGTAGAAATAAAAAAAATACAAGTACTTGACAAAATAAGAACATAATATAAATTTAATTAAAATTACCTAAACTGAAAACATAAAATTAATATAATAAAAAAATAAAAGTACAAGTACTTGACAAAATAAGAACATAATATAAATTTAGTTAAAATTACCTAAACTAAAATCATAAAATTTATATTTTATAATATTTAATTTAAATAAAAACAAATATTCAGGATTATTTTTAAAAACTAGATAATCAAAAAGAGAAGTAAAAATATAACAAAAACCAAACTTAAATCATAATGAAAAGAGGAATTTACTTAAATAGAACTAATGACTTTCCCTAAATAGCACTACATATGTTTTTCTTCCCAATGTAGCACTTTTACTCATTATGCATTAGTCATTATTTAAGTAAATATTCGCCATCACTGAACATTATGTACATTATTAAGTGCTATTTAAGGAAAAAAATAGTTTAAGTGCTATTTAGAGAAATGACTTAAGTTTTCTTAGATAAACTACCAGGAAAGAAAGAAAAAAGAACTAAAGGGAGAAGAAGAAAAGCGCACACAAGAAAAAAACCTGAAAGGGGAGAAACAGAGGGGAAAAAAGAAAAAAACAAGAAGAAGAAGGGTTGTGATGGAAGTAAGAGCAATGGAAATGNGGGCGTTTAACGCCTCCTCGGCGTTAAACACCGCCCCCCTTGGGGCGTCATTTGGGCATCGCTGCGTCGCGTCAAATGTTTAACCCAATTATTCCCCCCTCCCAACGGCTACTTTAGCCGTTACATTCTTAAAAAATTCTTTAATTAATTTTTTTTATAAATATCAAACTCAATCTTCAATCTACTTCACATCTTTCCTTTCTTCAATCTTCAGTCCTCAATCTTCTCACATCTTTCCTTTCTTCAATTTTTATTAACATGAATCCTTCCAGTTCTTCCCTCCAGTGGTCTAGAGCTAAACGAGTACGCGATGTGGATCTTCCAACAATCCAGGAGTAATCCGACGTTGTTCGAAACGCAAACATCGGTGAACCTCGATGACCCGGAGTCGGTTCCGGAGACTCAACCAGAACCATCGGGAACCAGAAAAAGTGCACGTCGGAAGAGTCACAAAGCGAAAGACGATAAACCGATGACTGAGGCGGCATGGTCAATCCAAAAGTGGACACTGGAGGAAGAGTCGTTGTTGGCGTCGGCTTGAATTGACGTCTCCGAGCATCCTATTGTTGGTAAAAGTTACTCTCTCCGTCCGGAAATAAAGTTTACGTTTCTCCTTTTTCTCCGTCCGAAAATAAAGTTTACATTTCTAATTTTAACCCACACTCTTCCAAAAATACCCTTCTCCATTTCAATCTTTTCTCTCCCTCTCCCCCCTTCCTCCTCTTCTTCCTTTTCCTCTTTTCTTCTTTTTCTTTCTCCCATCCGCCCGATCTATCTTTTCAATCCTCTCTCTCCCCCTCCATCCTCTTCTTCTTGCTTTCCTTTCTCCCGACCGTTGTTCTTTCTCCCCCCCACCCCCAATTGAGGACGAGATGGTGCCAAGATGCTGCGGCTTCCCTGGTGGACGATGATGGCTGTTCCTGGTGCTCATATAGGGGAAGAGAGTCGTGGAGAGCCGGGTCAGGAGGGGCCGAACGACCGGGCTCAAATCCGGGTCGGCTCAGGTTGAGCCAAAGTGGACGGCGGTTTTGGGGGAGGAACAATTTGAGGAGGGACATCCTCGACGGCGGTTTTCCGATTTTGAGCCAAAGATCCGGAGGCGGAGGGGCGGCAGAAGCGCGGCGGTGGCCTATGGACTGTTTTCCGATTTTGAGCCGTCGGGTCAGGAGGAGACTGGAAAGGGGGTATTTTGGTCATTTTACAAGGTTAGTCAACCTCCCTTAAAAATGACCAAAAGTCAAAACGTAAACTTTAATATCGGATGGAGGGAGTATATGTTTTCTAATACATTTGTGTTCTTATTTATTATATCTATGTTATATATTTGTGATAAAAAATTTCATTCAATTATATACGGAGTACTTTTTAAAGATTTGGAGCAAACGAAGGATGCGATGTGGGATCGTATCGAGGAGAAGTTCTTTGCGGCGATGAACAAGGTTGCCTCGTACCGTACCCAGGACCAACAAGGTTGCATAAATATAAAATATACAATGAATTAAAATATAAAAGTTCACCAAATTATTGGTATCTAAAAATACATTCAATGTAATATTTATAATGATTTTTTGCTAATATATTTTAAGAGATACTGCTAGTCAAATACTCCTTTCGTTCCAAAACAATTGTCATAGTTTGATTTTTTTAGTCAAATTGTGGTACACTATGACCATAAATTAAATATAACTTTAAATAATTAAATATTATAAAAATTTAATAAATCAAAACTACATTTGAAAATAAACCTAATTTTAATAAATTCATATGATAACTAAATATACTTTTTTTTACAATTTGTAGTCAAAGTATTGCAGAATTTAACTAATAAAGTTAAATTGTGACAATCATTTTAAAATGAGGAGAGTATTATGATTGAAAAGTGAACCAGACAATTAAAAAAAGAATGGAGTCAACCTCTATTTTTAAAGACTCGAGTTGTGTTACCAATTATTACTTGTGTACTTCTCACTCCAACCCAGATATTTGTATCTCCAAACATACAAACTTGTTTCTTTAATTGCAGTTGATTGAGCAATAATCCTAATTGATTACTATAATTAAGACGTAAATTCTTTCCAAGCTACACACTTTACTGTTTGTAGCTGATTGCAATTTGCAAGCCCATTGTCTTATCGCCAACCACACTGATACCTCCATCCATCCTTTTCCTTCTAGTAACATTTTCTTGATTGGCCATTATATTACGCAACCCAGCTTACTCGATCCAGAAACACCGCAACATTAGTGACCACTTTATCTGCAAAGAATTCCGTTTTTGCTGTTGTCATCTGGCATAGTTTCCACGCCCTTTACGGAGGGCAGGTGGCCGTGTAAATACTTGAAAGTCTCAAACCGACCATTGCAGTGAAAACCCAGATTGGAGAATTATCAAGAATTGCTAGTGAGAAGTGATTCTTTGATGGGAGAGGGGTGTGGGTATTTTGCCACTGGGTTTCTTGGGCTTGCTTTGTAAGAGATCTGTCATTGGGTTGTAAAAAGGGGAAGAGACATGGTGCTGGGGTTTCTGAGATCTGGGGTCTAAGGATTGCTCTTTGAATCTTCTCTTTGCAAGGTAACTTCAAAAAAATTGTGATCTTTCTTGTTACACTCAGTTATTTTCTGTGATTTAAACCTGTTTTGATCAATTTCACTGCATTTATTTAGCCACAAACCTTGTTTATCCATGTGGAAATAACTTCTGTCAATATATTGCTTTTGATTGAAGAAAGAAATAACGTTGCATTTGAACAAATTATTGGTGGAAATTTTATCACTTTTCATTTTATTGGCTGGACAGCTTTTATTTGGGGGCATTGGACAGATTTTTACTTTTTGCATGTATAAAGGAATAATATGGTTTACTTAGGTAATAGGTATGTTATTTAGCACCCGAGCTTCTAGTTTATATGATCTTCCTTGTAATATCTATTCAGGGTATTTTTGACATACAAGCAGATGGCTTCTGATCTAAACAAGGGATTATCCAAAGAAACGGACGTCGGCCTTCAAGTTTGGGAACTAATTGGGATTATCATTGGCTTGTTAATTGTAGTTATTCTCTTAGCATTGACCTTTTATCTCACTTTAAGAAAGAAGTCTAGAAGACCCAAAGACAATCTTCCCCTTTGTCAAATTCCTACTGTTTCTAAAGAAATCAAGGAAGTTCGGGTGGCGCATGGATCAACAAACGAATTTTCTTCCCACAATGGGATTCTTCTTACTATTCAAGATAATTCTGGCAATAAAGATTCAGACAAGGTTTTGGTTAATCTTGGGGTGGGGAGAACAAAGAATGGAGTTAGTAATATTTATAATGATAGTCTTTCGGGTTCTTTTCATCTGCCTGAAAAGGATTTTTGTGGGTCCCATTCGGGAGAAGACGGGAGTTCTGGCAAATTTTCCGGTTATAAACCTTATTCATCTCGTCCAATTGCTGCACCTTCTCCATTAAATGGTTTGCCTGAGTTTTCCCATCTGGGGTGGGGCCACTGGTTTACGTTAAGGGATCTTGAACTTGCCACGAATCGCTTTTCCAAGGAGAATGTTCTTGGTGAGGGTGGATATGGTGTTGTTTATCACGGGCAGCTGATCAATGGAACTGAAGTAGCTATTAAAAAGCTCCTCAATAACCTGTGTGTGCCTTTTGCTCAATTTTGTATTTGTATTTTTGTTGCAGAAATTTCTCAACTTTTGGTCACACATTATTTAATCATTCCCATTTTTGGTCACTGACTTCCAATTTTTTCATTTTCGTGCATGAATATGGATACTTTGCTACTTTTGGTCATCCACAATCGCTTACCCGATGGTAAGTGGTCACGACGACCGGTAGTGACAAGAAATACCCTATAATGCATCAAAAGTGGAATCAATGAAAGTTGGTGACCAAAAGGGGCAATATCATATTGTTTCATTCTCTCTACATATGATTTTAGAAGTTCCTGTAATGCAGAGGTCAAGCGGAAAGAGAATTTAGAGTGGAGGTTGAAGCAATCGGCCATGTGCGCCACAAAAATTTGGTTCGTCTTTTGGGATATTGCATTGAAGGAACACATAGGTGTTGCTTTCTATTCCTGCATAGCCACAAAGTAGTTTTTCATCTCAAAATGTGTTTTCGTCCTTCAATCCATAACCTTAGTGTTTTGGAATGGATGATGTTTAATATTTGTTATGGGAGGGAACTGTGAAAATATCTTATTTCCTTTTTTTGTAGATGCAAGACTAGTAAGTACTACACTTCTAGATTGACCTAGCATCATTTTTTTATTTCACATGACATAAGGTACAAAAATTTGGGCTGGATGGACTGCTGAACTAGTTAAACTGGATAAAAACCGGTTTAACAGTAAACCAATGATTGAATGGGTACCCATTGGTCATTTGTTTGTTATTTTTCTTAGAACCAAAAGATTTGTTTCACCAGATCATCCATTTAAAATCATGTTATTGTGAGTTTTGGTTTTCATACTCTTGAGTATCTAAGTTATAACATAAAAACTGATTTATATGATGAATAATGTCTTGTTAGTAGATGATGAACATTCTATAGTTTGATTTTCAATTAATGTAGTGGATAAAAGTTAGGCCAACTATGCTTTTTTTCCATTTTGAATTATAACTTTGTATTTGATTATTTACATGAGAAAGTGCTTCACATAAATGGGACATGAGAAAGTGGAATTGCTTATTTACTTCATTTTGAATTATACTCCCTTCGTCCCACTATCTTTGGGACATGAAAATGTGGCAGACTTGTTGAGATAAAGTAGAATTATGTGGTTGATATTTAATACGTAAAGTTAGGGTAAAATGTGAAAAATTTTGAACCACACAAATATGGAATGTGACTAAGATGGTAGGGCAGACAAAAATAGTAAAAATGACAAAGATGCGGTAATAGGGACGCTTCTTATCATCTTCAATTTGAATGTCATGTGTGAGTGCGCGTGTAATAAATTCTCTCATAAACTCATAAAGACCTTCACATGTGAAAATGGCACGACTTGTAAGAGTAGATCAAAAAGTAGGTTGAAAAGTGTTATTTATTGGGCAAATGACTATTGATAGGATGTGAGGGAGAATTTATGTAGGTAGCTGTGGAGTGAAAGTGTCTTTCCAATTATTTAATTTCCAAAAAAGGTAGCGGGGAAGCTGCATGGTACATACATTTTGTAGACGTGGTTCGGTTATTCCCATTTGTCTATATCTATTGGTGGGAGTTGATTTTGGGACATCTAAAAATGGTAGGCGAGAAGATGGTCTTTTGACATAGGGAGTATGTGTCTCTAGTAAGTATTAACACATCAACAAATATACATGACATGAGCTTAAGAAAATTGAGATTTGCTTCATACTCCCTTCGTACCAAAAAAACATCCTACTTTGACTTCACGGAATTTAAGAAAAGTGTTGAAAGGTGAAAAGTGTATGGTTAAGATATGTTTACGAGAGAGATTGTGAGCGTCATACTACATTCCTCTAGAGGAAATGGAAAAAGTGAGAAGTTTATTTTGGAAAGGACGAAAAAGATTAGTGAGAATTTTTGTGTGTGGGATTAATAGAGAAACTATGTTTTTTTATTCATAACCAACGCCACCAATTTGACTGGTGAACTATTGAACCAATGTCTTGATTGGTTCAATCACTTGTTGATTTATAACACCTTGGTTTTACATGTCTAATTATAATACATATACTGCAGGATTCTGGTGTATGAGTATGTAAACAATGGAAACTTAGAGCAATGGCTTCACGGAGCTATGCACCAGCATGGGTATCTAACATGGGAGGCAAGGATGAAGATTCTCCTTGGCACGGCAAAGGCGTAAATTCATTTGACTTGGCCTCCTGACCGTACCATTTTATAAAGCCTCGCCTAGCTATCTCTTTCTCAGTTTGTTTGTTTCATTCATTGTAGTCTTGCCTACTTGCATGAGAACATTGAGCCGAAGGTGGTTCATCGGGACATCAAGTCAAGCAATATACTTATAGATGGTGAATTCAACCCCAAGGTCTCTGATTTTGGCCTTGCTAAGTTGCTGGGAGCCGGTAAAAGTCACATCACGACTAGAGTCATGGGTACCTTTGGGTCAGTTATTTTGATCCCATCCTTTCTTAATTGTCAACCTAAAATGTACTAGTTACTATACTTTGTTCATGGTTAGAGTTCCGGTCCTCCATTTTATGTAACTGGAACCGGAACTAGAGCCAGAACCTTTGTTAAACAAGGTTCTGGTTTGGTCATAGAACCTAAAGTTCTGGTTTAGAACTGGGCGAATGACAATTTAATGTGCGAATGACAGATATGTGGCTCCTGAATATGCAAATACTGGTCTCTTGAATGAAAAGAGTGACGTTTATAGCTTTGGGGTGGTGCTGTTAGAAGCAATCACTGGACGGGACCCAGTCGACTATGGACGTCCTCCTCAAGAGGTACCTAATTATGGAAATATAATACTATTAATCTCATCATGCACTAACGTTGTGGTGTTCGCTCCATTATTACCAATTTATCATTAATGGCACATTATGAACATGTACTTTGACTATTTATTTACATCTATATGACTTATTCAACCACTGGCTTAGGCAATGTTTGGAGTGCGTAAAGTTGTATGGGAAGGTGAAAATGCTAGGAAAAATAATTTTTTTATGTTTGGTTTTGAAAGGTAAAACCATATTTGATTGGAACTTTTTAAAATTTTAAATATATTTAGATAGTCTTATGCTCCATCCGTCTGAAAAACAAAACAAATTCACACTTACCTTTTGGACTGTCTCAAATAAAATTCACAGCTCTCCCATTTCCTTTTAAGGAGAGAGGTATGTGGTTCACAACATTTCTCTCTCTTTCTCTTCTTAACGAACTTCAACCATACGTTTTTTTTTACTTCTCAACATTTTTCTTAAACTCCGTGGAGTCAAACTAGGAATTTGCTTATGAGACGGAGGAAGCATAACACAAAGAATAAAAAGGGTTAGAGGAAATACCTAAAATTGATTTTTGAGTTCGAACCAACTTCCCCTCTATTTTTTCTTTATTTTCTATACCTAGCATTTTCCGGGTCCAAACAGACCATTAGTTTATACTACTGTGGTCCTCATATGTAGGGGTGTGCATTATTCGGTCCGGACCCGGACCGACCCGAAACCCGGCCAAAACCGGACCGGACCGGTCCTTATTCGGTCCGGTCTCCGGTCCCCAATTTTTCCTTATTCGGGTTCCGGTCCGGACCGGTGGACCGGTTAAAATTTAATTTTTTTTTATTTTTTTTCAATATACTTTTATAATATTATATTTTTCTAAGATTTTTTCTTATACTTAAAATTAATTTAACTTTAATACTAAAGATTTTTATATGTTTTGATATTATTATTTAATATAATTTTTTAAATACATTATCAATTCAAAATAATATATGAGTTCTATCTAATGATTTTGAAATATTTTTAATATGAAAAGTGTAAAAAAGTAACATTACCTTTATATTAGCGATCTAATGCATTTCTCATATATTTACCAATACTACACCTAAATTTGTACTTTATCAATAATGAAATGCTAATCCGCAAAAACTAACAATGTGAACAATCTCAGGAACAAAATACTAAAAAATGGATCCGTTTGTCAAAATAAATCAAAAACTCAAAAAATATTACAAAAAAACAAAAATGAACTAAGAAGAAGAATATTATGTATGTAAAATAAAAATTACGAACAAATTTTATGTAATACGGAAGTTATATATTTTGTTTGAAGTTTTTAAAAAAAAAATCAAAACAACTATGTATGACTATGTTTAGTGCATGTTATAATTAAAAATTAGTTGTAGTTATATTTTTATTCAATTGAATACTTAAAATTAAATAAATAAAATCAAATTAAAAAAAAAATAAAAATAAGCTTTATTCGGTCCGGTCCCGGTCCGGTCCGGGTTTGACCGGTCCGGTCCTGGTCCGGTCCTTAGCTTAATCGGTCCGGTCCTCAGTCCACCAAATGCTCCTTATTCGGTCCCGGTCCGGTCCGGGTTTGACCCGATGAACACCCCTACTCATATGTAGTCTGTAGTTCTGTACACTGTTAAAAGTGCTCTTAAGATTACCAGTCTCACACTCCCATGGAATGGGCACTTGTTTTGTGAATATTCAGGTGAATCTTGTGGACTGGTTGAAAATGATGGTTGGAAACCGACGGTCGGAGGAGGTTGTGGATCCAAATATTCGTTCACGGCCATCAACCCGAGCTCTCAAGCGGACCCTTTTGACCGCTTTGAGATGTGTGGATCCGGATTCCGAGAAGAGGCCCAAGATGAGCCAAGTTACACGTATGCTTGAATCCGAGGAATACCCCATCCCAAGAGAGGTGAGTTCCCAATTTGTGTCGTGTATATACTCACTCTCTACAATCAATTTCCTAGTTTGTTTAAGACTATGTTTGGTTCTAAGAATTTGATAGCGAAGAAAAGAAATGATATGGAAAATAATTTTTCTTCTTTGATTAGAGAGGAGAAGAAAAGAAAAGTGGTAAGGAAATAAACTAGAAGGGGGGAAACAAGTTTCCATCCGATTTGGGGAGGAAAAAGGAGAGAAACATACGCTATGTTTGGTTCAAGGAAATAATAAGGAAAGAAAAAGAAAAAAAGGTTTCTTTCCTTTTCCTAAAGGAAATTCATTTTGTCTTACTAGTTTATTTTTTATTCGAATTTTCTTTTCCTTCCACTTTTCTTTTCTATTCCTCTCTAACCAAACAAGAAACATTATTTTCCATAACATTTTCTTTTCTTTTCTCTTAAATTTCCTGAACCAAACATAGTGCTAGTGAGTAGTCACTAGCAACAATTTTTTGTAAATACCTAAAATTTTTGTAAATCTTCCCAAAGTTCCTCTCTAATTTTTGGCCATATTTTATAGAGGTCCTAAAAATGGACTAGTAGTCATCCACCAACTGTATTTTTCATGAATTGTTGCTGTTGGCATTTAGATATGTTTGGCTATTTTTTCCTCTCAAAATTCTCCAGGACCGAAGGCAACGAAGGATTCGAGGCACAGAGAGTGAATCCCATATGGAGAACTATGACAAGAGTGACAACCCGGATTCACGATCAGAGAGCAAAAGGATTGGCGAAGCATGACTCCCCCCGCCATTTTGGACAGGCTACTTTGCACAGTACTTTTCGAGATAAATAATACACGCTCTGCAGTATTGATGATAATAATAATAAGAATAAATATTACTCTATAAGTAATAATAATAATAGTAGTAGTTGTAGTAGTAGTAAAAATGGTGTATTGATTCATTTGTATAAGGTTGGTAGTATATAATATAGAGAGAGGAATGGTGAAGAATATGCACTCTTATTTTCCACATTGAGGTGTTTTGTGTTCTTGTCATCAATTAGCCATAATGTGACTGAATTTGAATTCCTTGGGAATTAATGAGAAAAATTATGAGATGAAGAGTGAAAGAGCTCTAAATTGTCATGAATTGCACAAAATGTGAATCCATTTGGTTGGGCTCATTTTCACAACCTCCATCTTATGTGAAAGGTAACAATGGTCAAACAAAGACTCTAATGTCACTTGATTGAGTAGGTCTTTTGCATTTGATTAGGGCCTTTTTACTATGAGGTCATAATATTGAAATTCATCGTCGCCTAATTTTTAAAAACTTGTTGGTCATGTGTAATGCTTAGACATATTTTTATTCGAATCGTCATTTTTGGGATCACTTTGGATTAAGTGAAGCACATTCCATAATTCAGAGGGAGTACATTGACCGGGAAGAAAATGTTATTCCATACGATATATCTATTTTAACATCAGAGTTTGGCATCAAAAATTGGCATTATTTGTTTATTATAGACACACAAGACTGTATATGCATGTGACTTAGGGAATGTCTGGCTTTGCTGTTAAACATGCTTCTGAAGCACGTAGTCTCAAACTTTGGTGTCAAATTTGATATGACTGTAACATAATCTTATTTCATACGGTGTGTGTGCGCATGTGTTTTCTTCAATCATGTTACAATAACCCCAATTATGATAACACTAGTTTTTTGCAGACATTAGTTTCTCATTGATAATTATTGTCTTTACAAAAAACTAGTCCAATGATATTAACCTTGGACAAATTGAACAGGTGCCTCCCCGTGGTTTACCAAAGGAGTACCAAAACCCTCTAGTTTTCAAAAATTATTTGTAAATCTCCTATGGTTTCTAAATTGTGTGCACATGCCCACCAACCTATTTTAAACTTAAAATGACATTTATGTCCTTTCTCTTTATCATAAAATTTCACTTTTTTATTTTTTTCACTTTTAATTTCAATGTTTATACAAATAAATCAAATAACATATATGCTCTCCATGTCAAATTAAATTTCATTTATTTATTTTAAAAAGCAAAAGAATTTTTTGAAGAACGTTGAAATGAAATACTATGTACGGAGTAAAAGTAAAAAAGGATACAAAAGGTAATGAAAAAGAAGGAAAAATTAAAAACTTCCTTTTTCTTTTACTTTGCATTTTATTTCATATTTCTATTCTTCATTTTTTAAAATCCAAAAAAGTTGTTTTAATTTTAAATAAATAAGTAAAACATTATAGTTTGAAACGGATTGAGTTTATGTTAATTTTTTTATTTTATTTTATTTATTTATTGCACTTTTACATGAAATAGAAAAGTTCATTTTTTTCTTTTTCTTTCATAACCTTTTTCTATTCTTTTTTCTTTTACTCTGTACAGAATATCTATATCATTTTTCTATTTTTCATTTTTTTGTAACGTTCTCTAGATATATTATTTTTTTAAAAAAATAAATAAATGAAATTTTTTAATTTGAGATAAAGAGCGTATATGTTATCTTAATTGTTTGTATAAACAAGGAGAGTTAAAAATATAAGAGTGAAACTTTATGACAGGGAGAAAGAAGGGCATAAATGTTGTTTTAAGTTTGAAAGTAGGTTTGAGGAGGTATATGTAAATCGTTTAAGAGCAATGCTAGGGGTACACCAAAGGTGTACCCCAAATGTACACCACCCCCTTCTCCACCACCCATTTTTATTTGATTTTTATTTATTTATTTATTTTTAAATTTCTTGCCAATTTATGTGGACGAGAAGGGGGTGGGGGATATATGGGGCACACATTTGGTTTGCCCCTAACATTTTTCATCGTTTTAAAATCATAGGGTTTTAAAAATAAATTTTGAAAATAGAGAAAGTTTTGGTGTCCTTTTTAATTTTTAAACCACGGGAGGACACCGATACTATTAGCCAAGTTAAGGCGCATCAACTATCAAACTTGATGTTATAGTTGCATTATTATTTTCTTTAGGTGGGAACATGGTTCGTGACGGTTTTAGAATTTTCATAAAACTCGTTCTGTGTTATTACTCTTCAAACAATTCGGTATGGTACGGATTTACGATCAAAAGTCCAAAATGATTCGGTACCATGTCACTTTGAAATCATACCGGTGCCAAACCATGTCACACTTCTTTAAAAGTTAAAAAAGTTTTATTATAACAAAATTAGACAATGGAAGTAAAAAGCATTGACGCACCAATATACTCCCTACTTTACATCTTTAGTCATTGACAATTGATAATTTTAAAATAATTTAATTAATACTTTACACCTATAAGTAAGTTAAAGGTGCGCCAAAAACTAAAAAGATTGAGAGATAAGAAACGTAAAGATATAATTAATTAATTGATTAGTTTAACATTTTAGTGAGTCCGTATATGGTAAAACTGGTAGTACCAGAAGTAAGGTACAATCAGATAGTTTTTATTTTGAAGTAAAGTAGTATTTATTCTCGCACAAACGTACATGTTCACTTGAAATAACATAGTAATCATTCTGAAACAACGTAGTACTCATTTTGAAATAACGAAGTACTCATTTTTGTACATTGGTTCAATATAATTATAATATTTATTTACGAATAATGTGATGCTCATTCTCAAATAACATAGTGATCATTCTTAAGTAAGTACAATTCATTCATTTCACATTTGAAAAGTATAATATAATTAATCTTCATAGTCAAAACGCGAAGAACCGATCCGCACATCATCGTCATCTTCATAGCCTAAATCGCGCAGGTTCTAGCAAATTTCCAATAGGCTCTTCTTCCCCAAACGCGATTTTAAGCCGGCTCTACAGGAAGAACCGTACAACCGAGTGTACAATATAATTCGCACATTTTAATATTCGCTTCGATTCGAGATTTTCATTTTCTCATTTATTAAAAACCCATCAAGTAACATTTTAGAAACGAAATAGTTAGTTCCAAATATTCTCTCCATCCCTATTTTGATTACAAAATAGAAATTACAAGGTAAAATCTACGGTTTTTGAATCATTTTATTTACATAAATTAGTACATCAATAAATGGTGACAAGAATATTTTATTTTATCAAATAATCAATGAAAACAGACAAATAAACAAAAGTTATCGAGAAGAGAGAAAATAAAAATGTAATCAAAATTGGGGAAGGATGTACCTAGTATAATTTTACTGGAACCAAAGGAAAGTTAGAACGGAGTATATATATTGATACGGAGTATTTTCCACCACAATCCGCACCGCCCTTCTGGTCCGGCGTCTCCGCCGTAACAATACCCACTTCTTCCATATCCATCTTCCTCTCTCAGGTATGTACTTCTCTACTCTCCATATCTTTTGTCTTCGCTGCTTCAATTTCCAACCTTATCAAATATTCTCAATCAGGAGATGAAACACGATTCGCAGATGTTTTTATAAAATTTAGATCTATGACCGAAAGTTCGAAGTTTTGTTCGAAACATCCACGAGCCTACACCACCTGTTTCAAAAAAAAATTGAAACTCAATAGTACTTTCACTATTCTATTTTAAAGAAATCACCCTAAAAGCAAGAGAGAAATAATAGGAATCAAACCCTTATTTCCTTGAAAATGAGGGCTTAATTTTGGGATTAAGGAAGTATATGTTAGGAACTTATCATTATTTGTGATTTTGTGTAGCATAAGAATTTGATTGAATATATAATGGATGGTGATTATGGAAGTTAAATGGCGAGGGAGTGCCTAAAGTAATTTGGGGAGTTGCAATAACACTCCTCCTTTTCAAATTAGGTAATTACCAAGTGCTGTAATTACCATATGAAAACCAACTACAACTATATGACTATCATTTTCTATGTACCTTGAACTGTGTATATCCTATGTGTCATATGCCATATTTATGAGCTGTATCTCTTTACCACTTGTGATCATGGTTGTTTTTCTTTATTAGTTTCAAACCATCTTTTGATCATAAGCATGTAACTCAAACACATTGCAGAGCTTGCTCTATTGATCGAAGAACCATTCCAGGTTTAAACTTGAGTGAGCCTTCAGCAATGGCTAAGGCAAAAGCCGCTACGGTCAAAGATGCTGTTCACAAGCTGCAACTTTGTCTTTTGGATGGCATTCAAGATGAGAGTAAACTCTTTGCTGCTGGATCTTTGATGTCTCGTAGTGATTACCAAGATGTTGTGACTGAAAGAACTATTGAAAATATGTGTGGATATCCACTATGCGGCAACTTTTTACCTTCTGATAGGCCTCACAAGGGTCGTTATCACATTTCGAGGAAGGAGCATAAAGTATATGATCTACGTGAAGCCTACATGTACTGCTCAGCAAAATGTGTTGCGAATAGTCAAGCATTTTCTAGTGGCTTGCCAGAAGTGCGAACTTCCAATCTCAACCATTCTAAACTTAATGAAGTCTTGCAGGCTTTTGAGCAACCTGGTTTGGACGCTCAGGTGGATCTCGGAAGAAAGGAGATTTAGGGTTGTCTGAATTAAAGATTCTGGAGAAAGTAGAAGTGAAGGGTGGAGAAGTTTCTCTTGAAGAGTGGATTGGTCCATCCAATGCAATTGAAGGCTATGTTCCACAATCAGACAAGACTCTCAAGCCACAATTGAAGCCCCCCAAAAGAGGTACAACACATCAGGATGTGAGAACTGCTATAACATGTAGTGAAGTTTTCATGAATCTTTATCTTTCCCCAATTGCACCTTTCCTATTGATGGCAACGATTTTCTTCTGTGGTTATGGTACTTAAATTGTAGCTTATCTAAAACAATTTTTTAGCTGCCAGCTTTATTGGATTTGGCAGGATCTAAGTCTCAGCATAGCCAGCTCAATAAGAAGAAAATTGTGTTATTTAGTGAGGCAGATTTCACCAGTTGCATAATTACTGATGATGAGTATAGCATTTAAAAGTTACCAAGTACTTCAAGAACTCTTTTGAATGATTCTGCCACTGAACCAAGTGAAATAAGAAGTCATGGGAACAAAGATGATCAAATTGCCGCATTAGAAAAACAGGTCGGTTGTTTGCAAATCCATAACAATATTGATGAACCAGAGCAGTCTACCAAAAGGAATGGTAGGACTTTCAAGGATGAGAACAGCATTACAGAGGCATCTACACATCCTTCCAACAATAATCTCAATGTGGATGGAAGGAAATACATTGGATAGTGGAAATAATGATGTATCAAATACTACTACATTAAAATCTTCTCTGAAGCCATCATATGCAAAGAAAGAAACTCGTTCAGTAACTTGGGCAGACGAGAAGACTGATCTTAGTAGCAGAAGAATCATTCTCAGTGATTCTGGAGACCCAAAGAATCTCCAAAGTGTGTCTGGGGAACTAGAGTCAACAAGTACGGAGAAGGATGACGATTCATATCGCTTTGCATCTGCAGAAGCCTATGCAGCAGCATTGAGTGAAGCAGCAGAAGCTGTTGTCTCGGGCTGTGATGTCTCATCTGCTGGTAAGGCCTCATTGGTTCTTATGTGAGATTTTTGGAGTTTACTCCTGATTGTTTTTTTGCAAAAGTAAGTTATGTCACCAGTATTAATTTATGCATTGAGCTCTTACTCCAAACACTGTATAGTATCTGAAGCTGGGATTATTATAATACCACCACCACAAGAAATGGATGAAGTGGATTATTGGGAGGATGTTGATGTAGAGCCACATTTGCAAAAATGGCCAACAAAGCCAGGGTTACCAAATTATGATTTGTTTGAATCTAAAGATTCTCTTTATGACATTCCACCAGAGGGGTTTAATTTGTCTGTAAGTTGATTTTCAAAATTCGTTTTCTCTTTTTCCATTTTCTTTTTCATAGCTACAACACTTCTTTGATCTCGAAGGTGTTTTCTTTTTATTTGATATCTTATGTATGATATATGATTCATTTCAGTTGTCACCATTTTCAACAATGTTTATGGCACTCTTTGCATGGATATCATCATCATCCTTGGCCTTTATATATGGGCGTGATGAAAGTGACCATGATGAATATTCATCTATTAACGGGCAAGAATATCCACGCAAGATTGTACTCTCTGAGGGACGCTCAATTGAAATTAGGCAAACTCTTGCTGGCTGTCTCGCACGGGCCTTGCCCGGCGTGGTGGCTGATCTTAGGCTCCGGATACCGATATCAACTCTGGAAAAGGAAATGGTACTGATTTGCAGTTCTAGAAATTCACTCCCACTCCCTCCAACATCAAGAAGGTGGAGCAATTGGGAGGGTTTGAATAATGATCCTTTGCTCTCTTTGTTGTATTGAAACATTAATTTATTGATTCTTTTATATAATCAATTAGTGTTTTATTTATTACACTCCAATTCATTTATTTATGTGTTCTTCCGATTCATGTGTGCGTATGACAAACACAGAGTCAGGGACTAAAGTGGTTGTTGTGCTATTGTCTCCTATGCTTTCTTTGTTGTATTGAAACATTAATTTATTGATTCTTTTATATAATCAATTAGTGTTTTATTTATTACACTCCAATTCATTTATTTATGTGTTCTTCCGATTCATGTGTGCGTACGACAAACAAAGAGTCAGGGACTAAATTGGTTGTTGTGCTATTGTCTCCTATGCATATATGTCCAGGATAAATTGATTGATACAATGTCTTTTGTGGAACCGCTACCCCCATTCAGAATGAAGCAGTGGCAGTTGATTGTTCATCTGTTTCTTGATGCTCTCTCTGTATCTAGGATTCCTGTGCTTAATTCATTTATGACAGAGATGAGATTCCTGCTTCCGAAGGTAAAAGTTTTGTAGCGATGTAGTAAGTTGCTTGTTTTTTTCATCTTCGTCATCTACTACCCATGTAATCATATGTTAATTGCATCATATATATCCAACTGCATCTTAAGGTCTCCACTGTTGTGAAAGGTTGCCTGGATGGTGATCATGATCCCCCTCCCCCACCGCCACCACCTTAACGACTGTCTAAGTTCTAACAACTTTTGCTACATCATTATTCAGTCAAACCCGAATTCACATCGGTGTGGCATAGAACCAAAGTTGTAGTTTTATGTTTACAATGTGCATTTGTCGAGTCCTAAGTTTTGAAAAAGCAAACATTATGGTTTACTCATTTCCTAGATTTGGTTTTTTGTTCACAAATAGGTTCAAGAAGAAGCTGGTGTAAGTGCTGAAGAGTACAAGATCATGAAGGATCTCATTATTCCACTAGGCCGAGTACCTCATTTCACGATGCAGAGTGGAGCATAAAGCTTTATGCCAAGATTTCATCAATTCCAATTGGCCGCGTATGTAATCTTGACGAGAAACTTTTGTATTCGTGCTCGTAAGATATCATTTCAAGGCATTTCTAAAAGATTAATCATAGGTACATCTCATGGCTTTTGATTGAAATGTGGCCTATAGGAATATGTAATTACTCAAAGTAGCACAGTTTTGTGTGTGAAGTTGTTCGAATGGCGGAAAATTTCCTTATGCCAATATGATCTGAAAAAATGGACTTACTATGAACTTCAAAGTCATTGTGTGGCAACAAATTATACTCCAAAACCATATTGCTGAATTGGCTGTGATGCTTTTGCTGTTTTTTTCTTCGTACGTGTGAAATTGTTGAATATTTTTAATAGTCATACCAGGGTGCTTTGGTGTCCCGTTCGTAAAATAAATGATTCTTACTCTTTCTAACTCCCTCGATAAACCCCTTACCCCGCCCCAATCCGAACACACCCCTTACCTTCTTTAATTGCACCTCCAAGTTAATTTTGACTTTAGAGTTAAATATTAACTACAAAGTCAAAATTAACTTGAGGTGCAATTGAAGGGATGGAGGTGTGTTCAGGTTGGGGCAGGGTGGGAGGGTTAGTTTATTTAATTTAAACGGGTCATCCCATGGTATTAATTTAAGAAATCCCCCTAAATAAGAATAAAATATGTGTTATATCTTCAAAATATGAGCTTAAACTTAAACTCTTCTAAATAAGAGTAACTACTCCTTCCGTCCTAAAACTAATTTCTCATTTTGACTTTTGCAGTCAAAGTTTTTTAAACATTGACTGCATATTACAGAAAAAATATATTAAATTTTCATATAAATTTAATATCAATAGATTCATTTTGAAACATAGTTTTGAAATATATTATTTTGATAATATATATTCATATAAAAATGGAGATATTAATGGTCAAAGTGCCGCATTGGAGACCGTGAAAAGTCAAATGAGAAGTTAATTTTAGGACAGAGGGAGTAGTATTTTGACCCGTGCCATGCACGGGTTCGAAAGAAACTTATGTCGATTCTGAATTATTTCAATGAAATTTATTTTTCGAAATAAAGAAAATATATTGCTCATCACATGATTTTTAATACTACAAATGAAAAAAGCCAAAGTAAAATAATTAATATTTGAGGAATAGAATGTAGAGTTAACAATGTTTATTTTAATACCAAATTTTCTGAAAGACTTTAGAATATACAACATTTTTTGGTATGGTTGTAAGTATTTCCATTGTCATCTAGAACTAATATTTTTAATCATGTCTTTGTCTTCACACGTGAAACAACAGAATATAGTTGACCCACAAATGACAATGTGTTAAAAATAATCTCACAAATGACAATGTTTGAGCTTGACTTTTGTTGATAGTAATAGAAAAACATGAGGCGATCGGGAATTGTCTTTGGATTTTCAAGGGTAGCCTTGGATCAGATGGTACCAAATTCATTCTAGGGATGTAAACTTTTTTCCCGACTCGATTTCCCGAAACCACAATAGCATCGATAACATTATTTCACAGCTCTTGAATGATTAATTTTGCCTAATTACACCATTTAGATGTTTTGTCAATGTTCCTCAATAGCATAATCGGTACCCCTTTTTTCAAGACTATTTTGTGGTTTGGGATTCCCGAACATTTGATTTCATTCAAAAACTCAACTGTTATCCAATCGCCATCAACACCTACATCTGCTTCTACTTGGCACGAAGAATCAGAACTCAAGTACTCCTTTTCATCACCAGGATTGATGGACAAAACAAATTCATTTATCATTTCAACTACTTTGAGAGTTGGTTCCAATAGTGCTCTATCCTCAAAAAAGAATAATTTTTCATATTCTCAAACATAAGTCATTTCCCAATATAAGGTTTAAACTTTTTCAGATTTTTCATTTTTCATTTTTCAAATTTTTCATTTTTCATTTTTAAAACTTTTTCCAAATATAATTTTTCAAATATTTCATTTTTCATATCTGCACTAAATAGCACTAAAACAAAAATCATTTTCCAATATAAGACTTAAATTTTTATCCCTTAAATAATACTTAATAATGTCTAGAAGGAGAAATAATATCCTGTGACAATGAACATTTATCTAAATAATGACTAATGGATAATGACTAAAAGTGCTACATTAGTGTGTGTGTCTATATATATATATATATATATATATATATATATATATATATATATATATATATATATATAGTATTAATTAGGATTGTTTCTTAATAATCTTTTATGTAAAAAATAATATTCTAATTTCCATTAATATAGGTACTCTATTGATTTTAACTCTTATTATACACGAATTTCCACAATAAACATTTGTAACGTATTAATTTAAGTATGTAATTTTTAAATATGGAAGTGAGATGAAGGATTAATATATGTAGTATGTTCCTAAAATTCTATTTAAATTAAATGAAAAATATTATATTAATTTTTTAAATAGTATTTATATTTTTTCATATTTATTTTTAATTATTTTATATTATCATCATAATAGGAATTGGTATTATTGTAATATGAAGGAAAGAATTTCGTTGAAGGCTAGTGATTATCTTGTAGAAAATCTGCGGTCAATTGTTTTCAACGAGAGATCCGCTGGTGCATCGTATATAATTTATTTTTGTTGGTTTACTTGGATATTACGTGGCGTGCTGACATGTTTAAATTTTGCCACATAGACATGCCAAATGTCAAATTTCCGTGTATCCGAGTCTCCTTTATTATATTAAAGGATTAATTGCATTTTGTTTCAATTACTTCTAACCGCATAAAGTAAAAATGACCCATAGCCTCCCCCTTTCTCTCTCTTTCTTCGCACAATCGTATTGCCGTTCTTGCCTTCGTCGCCATCGCCGGCGATCTTCTACCACCACTCTCTTTACCCGGTTCACCGGCGTTGCTCCAGCTTTTACAGTGCCGCTCAACCCCCTTCTCTCTCTTTCCCATTCCCTCGCATAGCCTTGCGTCCACCCACCCCATTTGCCCAGATCTGAAGTCTGATCCACCATAAGCCAAGTTCTTTGTGAATCCATTGTGTCATTGGTCAGAATCCTTGGCCCCGAGGTTTAAGTTGCTCGGTTGCTCCTAGAGACAAATTTTACTATGCAAAGCTTGAACTCAGCGGCTAGGTTTGTTTTGCTTTTAGTTTAGCCAACATTTTTCATTGTCATTGTGATAGGGAGTGTTTCTTCTCATTATGCTTTGTTTTTTACATTATGTAGTTTCTTGTTTATTTTTATATAGTGCAAAATTTTGCATTATTGGTTGTCATTGAAGCTTTTTTTTGACGTTATACAGTGTCGTGTTTATCTTTATGTAGTACAAAATTTTGCGGTATTAATTGTCTTCATTGGCGTTGAAACATTTATTGTCATGATTGTGGGATTACGTATGAGCATTCGTGGCATTGTATATGTGTATATGTGACATTATATATTTTCATGTGTCATTATGTGGTATTATGTTTGGCATTGTGTCTTTTTTTGACACTATATTGGCAGTTAATGTGACACTCCGATGACGAAAGTGCAGATTGTGATGGTTGTGTCAGTAACTTGAAAAAATTAGTCCTTTTTGTGAAAAAAAACAGCTGCGTATAGTTTTTTTTGAAGCAATTGCAAAAAAACATATAAAAGAATAAATGAGACAATGAAAGGGAGCTTAGATTATGAGCGGTAGAGTTGACAGATTAGAATTTTGACACGTGGCATTTTAAAAGCTTTATTTTAATGACACGTCATTGCTCCACGCGTCCATGTTCCTTGAAAACGCCCAAAATCCCCCCAAAGAAACCAAATCTGACTTTCTACGGCTTCTTCCGTCTTCTTCGCTTCACCATCCCCAAATCGGCTGATTTTTCGCATCTACACCAATCTATACGCGGATTCTTCCGGTAAGGAGGAAAGATTCCATATAGTCGGCAATCAGAGAACCGCTATGAGAAGATATCCAGGTTTGTTTCCAAATTTCAAATTAGGTTTTTTCCAAACTTGGATTTAGGTTCCAAATTTCCAATTTATGTTTCTTTTCAAATTTCGAATTTAATTTCCAGGTCGTTTTGTTTCCAAATTTCCAGCGTATAATTTGTTTCCAATTTTCGAATTTAATTTTACTAAATTTGAATACTTCTTGATTTTTTTACTTACAAATCTTGGATTTTTGGCCACCCATCGCGTTTAATATTGAAAATTTAGGAATTTTTTGCGAAAAAAAATTAAAAATCCTTTATATGTACTTTTCTAGATTTGTACTGCTTTTTCCGGAATTTTTTGGCCATGCATATTTTTTTTCGAGATTTGTACTTCTTTTTTAGACCATACATGTCGAAGAACATCCATCCATTCTCTAAAATCACTCCAACCAGTATGTGTGCATATATGTTTGTATATTGTTTCATGTTTATAACTACATCACTAATTCAGATTATCTCTATTTCAATCATGATTGATTCCTATTATACCTTCCCGTTTATATATGTGATAATTCAGCCGTGGTTGTGCCCCAATCATAATGTTTAAATGTATCGTGTTTATGAGATTATAGCAGATTTTTGGAATCTTTTTCATGTGTTTGTTTTTGTTTTTCATTGAGGATTAGAAGTACACGTAAATGTTTAAATGCATCGTGTAATGCTTCTGTTTTTCTTAGAGGATTAGAAGTATAATGTAAATGTTTTTATGAGATTAGTGCAGATTTTTGAAATCTTTTTCATGTGTTTGTTTCTGTATCATGTTTTTCATGTGTTTGTTTCTGTTTATTGTATTTGAAAAACATGTGTGTTGAAAGACTTATTTCACTTTGGTGTCTGATGGGATAAAGAAAATCGTTATTTAATATCATGGCATATATACAAATGTTTAAGTCTTCAAACAACATTGCCACTTTGACTCAATCTAAATCCGCATTTTCTGCATTCTATTTATAATTTGCACAATCTCCATTGTCTCATTCTAAACGCCCACTGTCTGCACTGTTTGTTTAACGGAACCTCAGTGTTAAATAATCCTTTTTTTGCACAGTCTACACTTTCTGTTCAACTGATCTGAATGTTATAAGAGTTAAACGAGTTTAATGTTTTTTTGCACTGTCTGCACTGTATGCTATAATGACAAAATATAACATTGCTCAATACAACATTGGTTCGATCCTTCATATAATGTGATTGACATTTGTTTATATGAATTAGTGTATGGATATGGAGGATTGGTTTAGAGAATCATGATAAGCAATTAAAGAATCTGCGTGAAAGGAAGCGAGGCGACCCCGACTCAATGGCCTCTCTCTTGCTTGATGGGAACCAAGACCCCTCGGGTAAGAAATCAGCTCATTCGCTTTTTCTACTTCATCTTGGGAGATTAGGCATGCTTGAGTTGTGCATTTCTCCGCTGACAACCATGTTCACCACCTTCTCCTCCAACGTAAGTATTTCTGATTTCAATACTTCAATATCTAATTCTTTGCCATCAAAATTCACACCCAAATTCAGTCATACTTTTTAGCACTAAATCCTAGGAGATTATGAAATTTCTTCCAAATTACGGAGTATGAAAATTAAGAACTTTGTTGAATAAAAAATTTTAGTTGAATGTATAATGAGTTGTAAATATAGCATGGTATATACACCCTTCTCAAAAAATTTCACATATTGACTTTTTTGGTGAACTCTCTACATACATTGACCATTAATACATATAAATTTATAAAAATAAATATTTAAAAAAAGGTGATGTATGAAAAATACATCTTAAAATGAAATAAATTATATTAAATTTACATTATGACTAAGATGTACTCCGTATTTACAAGTCTTTTTCTGTTTAAGACTTTTTTCTTCTTATTTTGTGTCTATATGAATTGTATCCCCTATCCACTGCCATTTCATCAGCATAAAAAAGTAGCTTGACTCTCATTTCAATCTTGATGGATATGGATGAAACAAACTTATCTATTGTATGCTTCAGAGAAAAAAAACAAAATATGTAATGGGAAGCATTCTAATTTGAGGGATACACTATTATTGTTAATTAAGTTATTAATTTGCAATTATAAATTTCGTATTGATTAAATTATGATGTTCAGATTCTATATTTCCATTTTCATAAATGTGATCATCATATATCAAATAATTATGTTTAATATCAAATTTTAAAATGGCATGAAGGGGTACTATGGTCTCTATTGACTGAAGAACCATTCCAGGTTTAAACTTGAGTGAGCCTTCAGCAATGGCTAAGGCAAAATCCACTACGGTTAAAGATGCTGTTCACAAGCTGCAACTTTGTCTTCTGGATGGCATTCACGATGAGAGTAAACTTTTTGCTGCTGGATCTTTGATGTCTCGTAGTGATTACCAAGATGTTGTGACTGAAAGAACTATAGCAAATATGTGTGGATATCCACTATGCAGCAACTTTTTACCTTCTGATAGGCCTCACAAGGGTCGTTATCACATTTCGAGGAAGGAGCATAAAGTATATGATCTACGTGAAACCTACATGTACTGCTCAGCAAAATGTGTTGTAAATAGTCGAGCATTTTCCAGTGGCTTACCAGAAGAGCGTACTTCCTATCTCAACCCTTCTAAACTTAATGAAGTCTTGCAGGCTTTTGAGCAACCTGGTTTGGACGCTCAGGTGGATCTCGGAAGAAAGGGAGATTTAGGGTTGTCTGAATTAAAGATTCAGGAGAAAGTAGAAGTGAAGGGTGGAGAAGTTTCTCTTGAAGAGTGGATTGGTCCATCCAATGCAATTGAAGGCTATGTTCCACAATCAGACAAGACTCTCAAGCCACAATTGAAGCCCCCCAAAAGAGGTACAACACATCAGGATGTGAGAACTGCTATAACATGTAGTGAAGTTTTCATGAATCTTTAATCTTTCTCCAATTGCACCTTTCCTATTGATGGCAATGATTTTCTTCTGTGGTTATGGTACTTAAATCGTAGCTTATCTAAATCAATTTTTTAGCTGCCAGCTTTAATTGGATTTGGCAGGATCTAAGTCTCAGCATAGCCAGCTCAATAAGAAGAAAACTGTGTTATTTAGTGAGGCAGATTTCACCAGTTGCATAATTACTGACGATGAGTATAGCATTTCAAAGTTACCAAGTACTTCAACAGCTCTTTTGAATGATTCTGCCACTGAACCAAGTGAAATAAGAAGTCATGGGAAGACTGATCTTAGTAGCAGAACAATCATTCTCAGTGATTCTGGAGAACCAAAGAATCTCCAAAGTGTGTCTGGGGAACTAGAGTCAACAAGTACAGAGAAGGATGACGATTCATATCGCTTTGCATCTGCAGAAGCCTGTGCAGCAGCATTGAGTGAAGCAGCAGAAGCTGTTGTCTCGGGCTGTGATGTCTCATCTGCTGGTAAGGCTTCATTGGTTCTTATGTGAGATTTATGGAGTTTACTCCTGATTGTTTTTTTTGCGTAAGTAAGTTTCGTCACCAGTATTAATTTATGCATTGAGCTCTTACTCCCAACATTGTATAGTATCTGAAGCTGGGATTATTATAATGCCACCACCACAAGAAATGGATGAAGTGGATTCTGGGGAGGATGATGGAACGCTTGATGGAGAGCCACATTTGCAAAAATGGCCAACAAAGCCAGGGATGCCAAATTATGATTTGTTTGAATCTAAAGATTCTCTTTATGACATTCCACCAGAGGGGTTTAGTTTGTCTGTAAGATGATTTTCAAAATTGGTTTTCTCTATTTCCATTTTCTTTTTCATAGCTACAACACTTCTTTGATCTGGAAGGTGTTTTCTTTTTATTTGATATCTTATGCATGATATATGATTCATTTCAGTTGTCACCATTTTCAACAATGTTTATGGCACTCTTTGCATGGATATCATCATCATCCTTGGCCTTTATATATGGGCGTGATGAAAGTGACCATGAAGAATATTCATCTATTAACGGGCAAGAATATCCACGGAAGATTGTACTCTCAGATGGGCGCTCAATTGAAATTAGGCAAACTCTTGCTGGTTGTCTCTCACGGGCCTTGCCTGGCGTGGTGGCTGATCTTAGGCTCCGTATACCGATATCAACCCTGGAAAAGGAAATGGTACTGATTTTCAGCTCTAGAAATTCACTCCCACTCCCTTCAACTTCAAGAAGGTGGAGCATTTGGGAGGGTTTGAATAATGATCCATTGCTTTCTTTGTTGTATTGAAACATTAATTTATTGATTCTTTTATATAATTATTTAGTGTTTTATTTATTACACTCCAATTCATTTAATTATGTGTTCTTCCGATTCATGTGTGCGTATGACAAACAAAGAGTCAGGGACTAAATTGGTTGTTGTGCCATTGACTTGGAATTCTGATGTGTTTTGTGTTGTCTCCTTTGCATATATGTCTCCAGGATAAATTGTTTGATACCATGTCTTTTGTGGAACCGCTACCCCCATTCAGAATGAAGCAGTGGCAGTTGATTGTTCATCTGTTTCTTGATGCTCTCTCTGTATCTAGGATTCCTGTGCTTAATTCATTTATGACAGAGATGAGATTCCTGCTTCCGAAGGTAAAAGTTTTGTAGCGATGTAGTAAGTTGCTTGTTTCTTTTCCTGTTCGGCATCTACTGCCCATATGTTAATTGCATCATATATATCCAACTGCATCTTAAGGTCTCCACTGTTGTAAAAGGTTGCCTGGATGGTGATCATGATCCCCCCTCCCCCACCACCACCACCTTAACGACTGTCTAAGTTCTAACGACTTTTGCTACATCATTATTCAATCAAACTCGAATTCACATCGGCGTGGCATAGAACCATAGTTGTAGTTTTATGTTTACAATGTGCATTTGTCAAGTCCTAAGTTTTGAAAATGCAAACATTATGGTTTACTGATTTCCTAGATTTGGTTATTTCTTCACAAATAGGTTCAAGAACAAGCTGGTGTTAGTGCTGAAGAGTACAAGATCATGAAGGATCTCATTATTCCACTAGGCCGTGTACCTCATTTCACGATGCAGAGTGGAGCATAAAGCTTTATGCCAAATATTCATCAATTCCAATAGGCAGCGTACGTAATTTTTATGAGAAACTTTTGTATTTGTGCTCGTAAGATATCATTTCAAGGCATTTCTAAAAGATTAATCATAAGCACATCTCATGGGTTTTGATTGAAATGTGGCCTATAGGAATATGTAATTACTCGGAGTAGCACGGTTTTGTGTGTGAAATTGTTCGAATGGCGGAAAATTTCCTTGTGCCAATATGTTCTGAAAAAATAGACTTATTATGAACTCCAAAGTCATTGTGTGGCACCAAATTATACTTCAAAACCATATTGCTGAATTGGCTGTGATTCTTTTGCTGTTTTCTTTCTTGATTTGAAGTGGATTTACTCTTACAAGTAGTTGTACCTAACAGTGACCAATATTGGCGAGTTGTTTGGTACTTGTGAATTTGTTGAATATTTTTAATATCGGCATTCTTCTTTTGACAACAAAATTTGCTGTCATATTATGATCACAGAAGTACATTGCTCCGGGCCTCCGATCAAGAAATTGATGGTTCTTATTTCTTAATTACGATTGTCCCTTCCCATGCTTCCTATCTCAAAACTCCCTCCCCTCTTTCCCAACAGGCATTTTTGGCAGGAGAGGTGTTGGGGGGGGGNTAACCACTGTTAATTTTTTGATCGGATCATTGTAGCCCTTATTGTTATAATATGGCAACAATTAGCGTTGTCAAAAGAACCTCTGTCAAAATGAAAAAGAAACTTGTTCTCTAAATAAAAGAGAAACTTTTATGTGTTTTTAGGTTCATATTCATTTTATTAAGTTTAATATATAAACACTATAAAAGTGTTGGGCTTTTTGTAAAAAAAAAATTACTTGTAAAGCCATAAAAAAGTAAGAAAGCATATATTTTAACTGTGAACTTTAGGTATACAAAGAGCAAAACTCAATTGCACTGTACTAGTATTACTCAATCTCTATTGAAATTTGTATCTCATTTGTATACCACCAAACTCTTCACCACATATTTCTTATTCACTTTTCTCCTCAAATCCAAAGTGCATCGTGGAGAGCCTATTGAAAAATAATCTTTTCGTTTCAAATTAAAATGCATATTTACTATTTATAGAGTCAAACTTTATTCACTTTCTTTCCGTATTTTTGTTAGCCATTTGATAAAATAATATAATCATGTCACAATTAGTTTTGTAGATCTTTTGATATGGTTTTTAAATACTCTCTTCGTCTTAAAACTTTCTTCCCAGTTCGCAAAACGAAGAAAAATCCCAAGTTTTTTCAATCTATTTTATTTAAATATTAGTATAGAAATAAAAAATAAAACATACATATTTAAAAACTACATAAAAAATTCAACAAAACAAGTGGTGACAAGAATATTTTATTTTATCATATAGGCCATGAAAAAATACAAATAAATATAAATTCTCGTGAAGTTGAAATAGTGCTCTGGGAAGAAAGTTTTAGGACGGAGGGAGTATGTAATTTTTATTTTTTAGTTCTACATATTTTTTTATATAAAATGATTTGAAAATAACTTCAATGAAACAATGTAAACTGAAACATGCGGTTTAAATTGGGACGGAGGGAGTAGACCTGATCAATGTGTGACATGTTGTAAACAATATGTAATAATAAAGATGTATTCATTTTATTAAATATACTAATAATTCACTTTTTTCTCTATAGAAGTATGCATGTGTGTGTATAATAATTTGAAATAGTATTATTCCTTTTATTATTATTATTATTAATGTTGTTATTAATATTTTATTATAATTATACTAATAATAAATACGCGTCGGAACTTCTTTCCTGGCTTGAGTGGTAGCAAGCCCACTCCCCAGGATTCATGGGGAAGTTCACCCAGGTTTGAGCCCCAGCGAAGGCAGCAGCATTGGCTCCTTGTGCGTCATTAGCTTGAGAATAGTATGAACAGATACTACCTTGTAATAGAGTCAATAGCATTCAAAAAATAATAATAAATACGCGTCGGGTCGGGCTATGGTTTGAGCATAAAGCCCGGCCCTAAAATATTCGGGTCTGCCATTTATAAGGCGCAAGCCCGGCCCATATCCTAAAATGTCAAGTCCAAGCCCATGTGGGTCAAATATCCGGGCCCGTGGTCGGGTCTAGGAGGGAGTAAGAGAGTACTTTATCTTTAAGAAAGAATCCCAACTCAAAAGTTTTTTTTGTTAGAACTTTATACTTTGAATAAGAGAAAAGCTTTTGGAGATGTAAATTGTTAAAATTTTCATTCTTTTAGATTTTTATTTTGTTAGATGAAATTACTCCATTTTTATCTTGCTTTTTTCTTAGGTAACATTATTCTTAAAAAAAATTGAAGGCAATAGAAGGAACAATGGCTCCTCCTCAGTCCTCCCCGTCAAACATTTAACGTATTCGGGATGACACCTTAATAACATTGTAGGGGCGGTGTTTGACGCCGTTCTGGCATTAAACGCCGGGTTACGCCCCCAGCATCACCCTATTTCTATAGCTCTTAAACCAAATGAAATTGTAGGTAACTTTCTATTTTAGTCCTTTTTCCTACTAGAAACAAGAAACAAATGCCCGCATCTAAGAAATTAAAATACAAGTTAAAACAGTAAACACCGAATCCGTCCAAAGAAAGCCGGGTTGACTAGTCACTTGCATTAACGTTAATCATTATATTTAAGGAAAGATTAATGTGACCAATTATGCAATATTACTCCAATATTCTCTTTTAACCACTAAAATTCCGAAAAATCCTTATTTCCCCCATCAACTTAAATTTGATCCGGCACCCGAAGATTCAAACTCTTGACTGATGTAAACCCGCCGTCCACCACCAGATTCTGTCCGCTGATGTACTTGGCGTCGTCGGAGGCCAGAAAAACAGCGGCGTTAGCGACGTCGCCGGGCTCACAACGAGCCCCCTCCAGCGCCCCGGACTCGTGCAGCATTCCGGCGAGGACCCCGTCGTCGGCGCCCGGAAAGTACTCCTTCATTTCCGGGAGGGAGAAGGCCGTCGGAAGGGCAAAAGGGGAAATGCAATTGATCCTAACCCCGTGCTTGCATAGCTCGGCCGTGGCGGATCTCACGATTCCGATCACCACGGACTTGGAGATGCTGTAGGTGTGCTGGGCCAACCTCCATCACACCCGTCACGCTCCCGGTGCAGAGTATGCACCCGGAGCGGCGGGGGATAATGACGCGGGCGGCGTGCTTGATCCCCGCCACCACGCCACGGGCGTTGACCGACATGACTCGGTCAAAGTCCGCCATGTCGAGGTCAACCACGCTGAGTGGGGTCCGGCACGGCATGCCGACGTTGTTGTACATGATGTCGAGGCGGCCGTGGAGGGACACCGCCAGGTCCACGGCGGCGGAGATGTGCGACTCGTCGGAGACGTCGCAGGCCACGAAGGCGGCGTTTCCGTCGAGCTCGGCGGCGGTGTCTTTCCCCGCTTGCTCTTGGATGTCGGCGATCACCACTTTGGAACCGTGGGTGATGAACTTTGCGGTGGTTTCTTTCCCAATGCCACTGGCTGCCCCCGTGATCAGCGCCACCTTCCCTTCCAGCTTCCTTTGCGTTGCCGGGATCGAGAGTTTCCGATCGAATGCCCGAACAAGAAATGACCTTGGGACGGCCGAGACGTCTCTCTGAATGATGAGCTTGAGCAAGTTTTTTATTGCTCAGGAAAACTCTCTCTTTGGGAGAAGTACCTAAATAGGAGTAAAGGATGATGAAACTACCATCATGTCCCTAAGAGATTAGTTATGCTAAAGTACCCTCAAATCAACTAGGACAAGTGTCTTATAAACCATGTCCTATATCCTCTATACCATTACACATTTTGGCAACAAATCTCCTTCCTAAACCCATCATGCCCCTGGAAAATGGCTTCATTGTTTTGGGGAGGCAAGGGAAAATATCATTGGGCATCTTGGAATTAAAAAAGGCTTGGTGTTGGACCTATCAAAACAACTCATTTCTCTAGGCAAATTTCATGAGGGCTAGAAAGGTTAGATACCCTAAACATGGAGATATAGACATGCTTCTCTTCAACATATATTTTTATTACTCATTAAGTATTGGAATCAGAAACAGCTTTAAATATAACTAGAATCATATCAGATAATCAGACCAGATCAGACAACACGAGAACAAGCTCATAGTACCCCAAAAGTAGCTTTCTTCCAATGGAGAAGACTCTGTCCGCCTTCCCTTTCCAGAGAAACTGGCCATGCTTTTGGCAATAATACCCCTAAACCCCATGAATTTCAACTTCTTAGGAGGACACTGTTAAGCAAATGTTCATACGAATCCAACTACACAAGAGACGGATTTGGGGCTAATTTGAGAGAAATTTCAGAGAAATTGATCTAGAAGGATAAGTCAAGAAGAAACACACAGAAAAAGCTACCTGGAATGATCCTCTTCACGATCTGGTGTGAACAGAGACCTTAGCTTAGCTTGCAGAAGATGGCGTCGGCAGCGAGAGTGAGTGAAGGAGAGCTAATAATAAAAAGAGCCGGACAGTTCGGACCACATCCCGGACTTTGACTTACTATTCTTTCTTAGTTTGTCACATCACATCACATTTTAACTCCAAAGTAATCTCATTCTCCAAATTTAACTCACATGTTTAGATTTACAATTTTTGAATAATTTTTTTTTTGATAACATTTTTGAATAAAATTATTTTCAAATTAATTATATGAAAATTGGTGTAGAGTTAAGAATTAGATAATACATACTTGGTCCGTCCCTGAGTGTTTGTCCACTTTTAACTTTTGGAACTGTTCATCTAAGTACTTTGGTCTTTGAGTCATCAAATTCTCTCAATGTGTAAGCCTAAATATAGTCATGTGTGATCTTGTTTGATTCGTCTTAACATATAGATTATTAATATATAATTTTTATAATTTTTTAATATATAAATTACAAGATAAAATAGATTAAAGAAGTGCATTGGATGGTGTGCAAAAATGAAAGTGGACAAACACTCAGGGACAGAGGGAGTATTTTAAAAACTAGTTCAAAATATCTACAAAACTAATGGTAACATGACTATATAATTTTATCAAATAACTAATAAAAATAGTAAAAGAAAGTAAATGATATTTGAACATGTGAATAGTAAACCGATAACTTAATATGAGACAAAAGCATTAAATCTTATTCCATTAAATTAATCTCTATTCATAAAGTTACCAGTAATATATAATTGTGTTTACATTTTTAGGACCAGTAAAATTTACATTTTTGCATTCGTCTTTAAAACATAAAAATTTAAAAAAAAACGTATTTTTAATTATTTAATTTCTTTGATTTAAAATTCTTTGATTTATTCATTAATTACTATTTATACCTACACTTTATTTTACTATTTACAATGGTCCAAAGACAAATATGGAAAATCAAAATATTTTTTGTTTTTTCTTAATTTACATGTAAAGTCAAAGCGGGAAGTTTATTTTTGGACGGATGGAGTATATATGTTATGATCTACAATGATGAGTATTTACGCAGCATAAATATTTTTTCTCTTAAGTAAAATGTGGATAGAATCAACAAGGATTGTTACCATGAGTGAAAGATGTGTCTAAAAACACACAGAAAAATGTTCAACTTCTTTTGTCCTATGATAAAGAAAAAGATCAATCTTGAGCTAGTGAAGAATAGAGATTATACTTTCTAAAAAGTACTACTCCGTACAAGATTAACCTAATGAATATGAGAGCATATATATGTATAATCACAAGCTTATTATATATGTATTTAAAGATATGAAAAAAGGCAATTGAAATAGCCAAAATAATAAATAATGAAGAATAAGACTATGAGCACAATGCTTTTCGCTCTTACATTATAACTTATATTGTCAATAATGTCAACATATAACACCAAAAACTATTGTAAAATGTTACTCCGTAATATACAATTTCACATTATAAGAGTACATCTTAATTTGGTAGATAAAAATATACCACTCTTGCATTAGAAATAAAAATATTTTACTCTTATTTTGAATGATTTTCTTAAAAATAGTTTTAGCAAGTATTTTAAAGATGTAAAATTGTTTTATGAGTATTAAATAGTACTACGTAGTTTTGATTATGGGCAAGATCTAACACAAACTTTTGCACTTAGTGATGAAATTGGTATGATACAACACAAGGGAGAACTACATCTAAAATGTACTCCCTCCGTCCCAATTTAAATCGTCCGTTTTGACTTTTGGGCATATTTAAGGAAAATAAAAAATAGAGTTAATTTTCGAAATTGACATTACTTTTTAAGAGGGGTAATGATGAATGAGAAGATAAGATAAAAAAAGTGACTTATTTTAAGGGTAGTTTAGGTATTTTATTTTTAAATGTTTACAAAAACAACTAACAGGCAATTTATTTTGGAACGGAGAAAAAAGGCAAACAGACAATTTAAAATGAGACGGAGGAAGTAATTATTAAGGTGGGAGAACTCTTGGCTATATAAACTCATCACCAAGTCTCCCTCGTTTGACCCGTGGGACAATAAAATGAGTCAGTGACATGGTAAATATTTCCTTATTTTTTATGTGAGAAGGTCTAAAAGGTACACCAAAGTAACACTCTTGATTGCTTAGGCATTAAAAAAAAACCACTCCGAAATCACTCCGTATATCTTCTTTCTTTCCTCAGTTGAAGCAAATAAGGAAACCAAATCGTCTCATCAAAGCTTTTATTTTATGCTAAAATAAGTGCCACTTATTTATTTAGAGATCAAACGGAGCAATTAATTTTCGGAAGAGAGCAAATGGAGGTCAATTGGATCATGGAGAATTGCCTTCACAGTTTCCATCATCCCTTGTGCACTGAAACCATCATCTTTGGCATACACATGCTGCAACACTTTGCTCATCTTCCAAAACACATCTCTGCAATCTCTTGGAACCACGCCGCCATCCTGCAACACAAACCTCAGCACCTCTCTCCTTTTAGCACTGATCAAATTGGTTATCTCTCTCACACCTGCTTCTTCTTCCTCAGTCACACCCCCGCATCTATGAGTAACCAGCAATGACAGAGAATTTAGCTTCCCTTCTTTTGATTCCCTCTGTAGATTGAAGATAAAGGTGACTTCTTTATGACCCAAATTGAATTAATGTAAGGTAGTGTTTGGGAACTAGTATTTCATTCCAGTTCTTGCATTTCAATCCCAAACTTTGAATTCTTGAGTCTCAAATGACAAGGGAGGAGGCATATGGAATTGGAATTATTATTTGTGATGAATTAGAAGAATTTGTTTCAAACCCAAATTTTTAAGATTGCCAAACATGAAATTTGAGCCAAATCCGGATTTGAAATCCAAATTCTAGTTCCCAAACATGCCGTTAATAGAATTGCTTGTTTCAACTTAACCGGTTCTTGTACACCATATTCAACCTTAAGAGATTGATAGGAATAGCCCAATGGCTTTGTATGTTGGTTTGTGTTTTTAAAATTTGGCCAATGTGGGGGATGGTTTGACATGAGTAAACAAGAACTTGTAGAATGGACAGACTCTAGGGCATGTGTGTATCTACCTCAAAACCCTTTAAGTCATTTAGAAGACGGCCACAAGTGCTCAATGACTTGAATAGGTGGTGGTATTCGGGGTGCTGGATGATCTCCTCCGAGAGCTTTGGCCCGACTAAGTAGAGGGCCGGTAGGACAATTGGTCCTAAGGCAAAGGATATGTAAGCATTCTCCATGTACTCGTCCAATGTCGGCACGGACATCTCTTCTGTCCATTCAGCCTCTCTTAACATAGAATTCATCAAATCCAACCACTGCAACTCACAACAGCAAGTAGATCTCAGTCATCAATTGTATGTTCAGAAAATAAAAATAACACCAACAATAAAGTTATGGAGCAAAGACCTTCCTTTGATATGCATAAAAACATCAGAGCAAATAAATTAATTAGAAAGTAACGTTTGAGATTATTATTATTAATGGTAAATAAAAAGTCTTTGTATCTCACGATCTCAATTATGTGGCTCATCACATCACGTCCTTGGTATTTAAATGCTTTGTCTGCAATCTCAGAAATTGTGCTGTGGAGTGCAGAAAATATGATCTGAACTTGCTCTGAACAATAGTCAGTGCTAGCATTTACATCCCACCTGTGCAAGTCACAAAAATTCACAGAATAAGAATTTTAGCTATGTCAAGGATAGTGATTGAATTCAGGATAAGGTCTTCATCATAGGACAAGTGGGTCAAATCACACTAAAAGATTGAATCCAACCGATTAGCTAGGACGACCCAAGATCTTATTAACTCTTCATTTCCTAGTTATATCTCCATCATCTCCGATGGAATTAGAGATTCACTATCTTTTGGCTTTGTGGTATGATAGAATAAAGTACAATGGCTCTTAAGTCTGCACTTCTTTTAATAATGAAGTACCAGTTAGTCAATACAACTTTCGGCACACATCATGGATCATCTGGAAGCAGACACTCTATGTTGTAAACATAGGGGTCAAGCTGTATACATCC